CAAGAAGCAACCGGAGAATCTTCTTGAAAAAAGATAGAAGAGCTGGTGAATTCTGGAAAATCGTGTTGTCTCAAATTTTGCCCACAGTCACCCCAAAATGAGAAGCTCTACTGCTAAGCAGATGTGATTTTCGTAATCAGCAGGTCAGATAACCTCTATGAGCAAGTTTTCAAAGAAATTTGGGTGATTTGATTTTTTCTCGTTCTACGGCCTGAAGCACGCCGATGGGTTTTGGTCAAAATGTCGATGACCTTGGACTGTAAAGAAACTTTGCCCAAAGAGGTTTTCGAACACGCTGTTTACGAAAATAGTGGTCTTTGACGAAGACAGGGTCTTTTTGTAGAGATATTGTGAGGTGACTGTAACTGAGACACGAAAGTTCGTAAATTTGCCTGCACTTTTCGCGAATTTGTCCTTGCCTGCTTGCTTTTCCAAGTCAAAATCACTGGGAACTGTGCTATCAAAAGGTGCATGCTCAGGCTCTAGTCTTTAAAGTTCGCCGAGTTACGAGCCTACGAAAACACGTCCTCATGAATTTCGCTCAAAATGTAAAAATCGCGTATTTCGTCGAAATTCCACCTTCAGTGGTTGTATGACATACTGATCAAATCTTTTCATATTGGTTAATGGTCTTACTGTGCTGGATTTGGAAATTAGGTAGATCTGACAAGGGAACCGTGTCGAGTCGAAGTGGCCTTTCCAGATGAGATCCATACTGCTTTGAAGGGTATTAAGAGGTGATTCTAAATCCGCCTTCCAAATCTGCCAAGCGCCTCTGGACGCCGAGTTATGACCGTTCTTCGGAACGAAAAATGAATGCAGAATTTAGGTAAAATTGATTGTTACAATCTTTCCAGCGCTCAGATAACGCAATGCTAAATATTATCACATTGAATAAAATGCATCCATTGCATAAACAGCTCTAATACTTGACACTGGACCATTTGAGCATTGGGTGATTTTGCTTCAGTTTTGCGTTCAATTTTTTGACCTGAAAAACGAGCATAACTTGGCGTCCAGAGGCGCTTGGCAGATTTGGAAAGCAGATTTGAAATCACTGATTAATGCTCTTCAAAGCAGTATGGGTCTCATCTGGAAAGGCCACTTCGACTCGACACGGTTTCCTTGTGAGCTCAAGCTACGAAGGGGCTTGGATATTCAAATGAGCAGCTGAAGAACGCGCCACCATCATATTCAACTTAATGGGATCCCTTAGGCGAAGTGAGCATATGCAATCAGAATGTCATACAACCACTGAGGGTGAATTTCGACGAAATACGCGATTTTTACATCTTGAGCGAAATTCATTAGGACGTGCTTTCGTAGGCTCGTAACTCGGCGAACTTTATAGACTGAAGCCTGAGCATGCACCTTTTGATAGCACAGTTCCTAGTGATTTTGACTTGGAAAAGCAAGCAGGCAAGTTTTCTGACAAACTCGCGAGAAGTGCAGGCAAATTTACGAACTTTCGTGACTCAGTTACAGTCACCTCACAATATCTCTACAAAAAGACCCTGTCTTCGTGACCACTATTTTCGTAAACAGCGTGTTCGAAAACCTCTTTGGGGAAGTTTCTTTACAATCCAAGGTCATCGACATTTTGACCAAAACCCATCGGCGTGCTTCAGGCCGTAGAACGAGAAAAGGAAATCTCTTTGAAAACTTGCTCATAGAAGTTATCTGACCTGCTGATTACGAAAATCACATCTGCTTAGCAGTAGAACTTCTCATTTTATGGTCACTGTGGGCAAAATTTGAGACAACACGATTTTCCAGAATTCACCAGCTCTTCTATCTTTTTTCAAGAAGATTCTCCGGTTGCTTCTTGGCGCTCGATAATCTGCGGGCACATCCAACAGTGCTTAATAGAGTCTTTTATGTTTGATGTGCGCTGCGTTGCGATCTTGTGAATATACGCCCGCAGAAAATTTTGAAAAAATTGAAGACGGAATTTCAAGGACATGCTGTATACAGTGAGATTCGACTTGACAAGTTGAACACAAATCTGCTTTCTGATTCCGAAAATGTTCATTCTAAAGAAAGTTACGGCTAGTAGAACTTGGAACAGCTTAATTTTTCCAGAGTTTATCAGCTCTTCTATCTCTTCTGAAAGAGAGTCTTCGGCTGCTGCTTAACGCACGATAATCTAGTGAAAGAGTACTATCGAACGGTGCCCATGGCAGTCTCCTATGTGTGATGCTTGTTGCGTTACATCCATGCGAAGAGGCGACGGCATGCAAATTTAAGATTACTGAAAACAAGATATTGGAGACAACCTGTACATCAAAAGATTCGCCTTGACGAGCTGAATACAACGTTGTTTTCGGATTTTGAATATACTCATTCGGAAAGAAGTTATGGCCCTGCGTAATTTGCGTGATTCATATGAATTTCGCGGAATTCCCGGAAATTTTGCAAGTTCTGTGAGTGGTTTTGTACTATATGAGATAGAACGATAAAAACTCACACAGCGTTTTCTAAAGTATTATACATTTCTTATTGTATCATATATCAAAAATGATCCCATTTTGTGGGGTGGAGGACATTAGGTCGCCGATTGGAAGAGTCCCGCGCGGACTCCCTGCAGGAACGCATGTCCGCGTATGCACAAGGGTGCGTATTTGTCGCAAATGACCGCGGGGACCGCCCTCTTTCGGCGACCTAATGTCCTCCACCCCATTTTGTGTCGTCAGTGATAAATGGTAAAATGATGATATCAATGACAACGACAGATAAGAATGGCTTAAAGGCACCGTCCATCCAGATTCTCGACTTCCAGGTTTTTGTCGTTTCAGGGTCTTCTCATGCCCTGATTCCGAATTTGAAGTCGAGAATCCGCGAAAACCCCGACAATCCCATTCCGGAGAACCCACATGCCGGCTTTCCAGAACGGTGATTGGATGAGCGCGCACAAATGGGCGGGCATGGATGGGGAGGGGCGGGCATGGATGGGTGTCCTCGTGCATCGTCGCTGTTCCGAAGCGATTTTCTCGCTCCCAAAGCGGCATATTGCGCCGGGACTTGGGTACTGGCTTGATAGGAGGCCCTACTGTTATATGCTGCCAAAAGCTCAACACCCTCAACAGGGTAGACGGTGCCTCTTAATTCATGCGGTCGATTTCCACGTTCATCTTCCATATAGGTGCAGAATTTCAGCCCAGGCTCGGCGTGAAGCGAGTTGAAGCAAAAATGCCATTCTAGGTAAGAATTGGCAGCAATGGCATGTGTCGATGAAAAATCGATCGATTGCTGCAGCGAGGGATCTACCAATTTCACCGAGCAATAGAACTAGAAAAGCCTGTAGATTACTTATAATGAGAGAAAGAGCGAGATAGAAATTCACACAGCTTTTTCCTACAATATTTTCCTTACCATATGCAAAAAATGATCCAAAAATGTGATATTATCAATGATAAATGATAAAATGCTTATATTAGTGATAAGGGTAAATAAAAACTGCCCAATTTTTCGCGATAGTTTTCGATAATGAAAACTTCGTATCAGAACCTGCTATTCGTGATTTACGCTGTGATAAATGTTCACAAAAGCCTTAACACAAAGAACAAAAGGTATGATTATAAGTCTACCCCTTCACCACGAATTACGGACATACTGTATATCAAACGATTCGTCTCATCAAGCTGAAGCCAAATCTACACGCAGATTGCAAATAAAGTGGATTTAAGAGAAGTTATAGCTAAATTCCGCAAGTCCCGCAAATCCCGCGAATCCCGCAAACATCGCGAATCCCGAAAATCCCGCGAATCCCGAAAATCCCGCAATTTTGGACAAATTCCACGGTCACAACTGTATGATGACCTTCACTTTGAGCGATAGAAAGAGAACACAACCTTCACCAAAAAACAATCAACGGGGGCTTCGCCCCGGATGTTAAGCTCATGGCTATATCGAAATGGACGTTGAATGAAGCAAGTGTAGTAAGTAACATCTCAAATCCAGCAAAACCGAAAAAAATTTTGTAGCCTTTTTTGAGCTGAAAACGAGTTTTTGAGTAAAAAATCATAAAAAACCACAAAATCATTTTTCCGACCTCATTTTTAGACTACGATTGAGTATCGAAAGCTTATGAGAGCTTTTGCAGTTCGATAGAAACAAGAAACTGCGCTTAACTTTGCGCAGAGAGTTGCGCACGGAAATGCTGATTTATTTCGTAGAGGAGTGATTTTCAAATCTCGCAACGTTGTCAGAGCTTCAATTCGTGTCCTGATGATCAGAGTGCTATACAATATTGTAGGGTCTCGTTGAGACTCAGAGGACATGTATTTACGACCAGAACCAGACCCCCGCCGACTCTGGTAATTCTCCCCCCGCTCGTCTACGTCTCCACGCCTTGCGCGCTAGCTCACTACCCCAAACAAGGGACACGGGGCATTCGGCTCTGGTACCCTTTTTTCATTGCGCTAAACTTAATTTTAGGAAACTGTTTAACATATTGAAGCTCTTGACCTCTACTTTCACGCTAACTACGTGCAAACCCAATCCTTTGATTTAATTTATTTCCTAGCAAAAACCGTGTTTTCGAAAATCTCTTGTTCTCCATTTCTCTCTTTTTTTCGAGCGGTTTTCTTTGTGCACTCGATAGACATCGCTTCCTGTTCATGATTTAGACCACGTCGCGAGACTAACTTCTTCGACTGAGGTGAAATTTGGAAAAGCTGCAAAAAGTGCGTTTTTTGAGGCTTTGTCTCTAGACTATCGAAGGTGTGGCGTCATCCCAATTTCGGTTTAACTGCATTGAAACACAAAACATACTTCTAATACTTCTCTCTCCCAAACAGTTTTTTCCAAAGAGGCAAAACATAACTCGGGATGAAACCTATAGATGTTCTTTATTTTGAAGGGTGTAATATTTACGTCTTCTACGTCATAATATTTTAAACAAACTCTGTTTGATCAACAGATTGATCAAGAACGGACAGGAGAAATTATATGTATATGTATGCAATTATAAATGACGTAAACTCAGCAAAAAAACATATCTATCGATCCACTTCGCCAAATATAATGTCAAGTGTGCCTATAACTGCTACAACATCGGCGATCAACGACATGTAAACAATGTCATGCATGGCAGCCAGATGCGGGAATGCAGGTCCACGAATGAAGCACCTTTAATTGTGGATGTGAAGTCAGTTTGAACTTCCAGTAAAAATGACGGTTGATCTAGTGCATTTGCGGTGCTAAAAAATTTGCGCGGGAAAGTCTGCTTGCCTACTAAGTGTTCGCTAGGCGCGCTTTCGCACAAACCATTTTTTACGCGCAAGTGTTGCTAGCAAAGCAAGAACACCATAGTATCCAACTCTACTTGTTTATACTTGAAGCAATGTTTACCTGTAGGGCTTGCTAGTGCCGTCAGAAACAAGATACACTCCAAATTCTCCTTTAGGGGCTTCGATCGGAACATATGTCGCTCCAGGTGGAACATGATAGCCTTCGCTAAAGAATTTGAAATGATGGATTAGCGACTCCATACTGCCCTGAAACAGAAACCATTAATTTTGTAAGAAAAAGGTGTAGTCATAACATCGGTAGTGCTTTTGCGTTGTCGACAACATTTGCGCGTAATAAACTGGCCACATCTCGCAAACACAAAGAGTTGCTATCGGCGCTAATTTTTTTACGCGCAAATGTTGTCAGCACCGCAGGAACATTCTGTTTACCGTTTCTTGTGATCTATTGAATGCTCACTTTCATCTCGGCACGTTTTGGCGGTACAAGTTTCTGGTCGTCAATCTTCACCTCTCCAGCGGGCATCTTATTGAGACATTGTAGCATTATTCGTACGGATTGGCGCATTTCTTCAAGACGGCAGCAATATCTAGAAAGGCGCATTAGGGGGAAATTTGAAGTAAGATAGTGAATCAGCGACCTATCGTAACAATCTCCTTTGGTCCCAACAGGAACATCAAATTCTACTTGATCATAGGCGTCATATGGTTGTGTTTTACGGACATCTTGCTTGACACCTGATCCTCGTAACATCACACCGCTGAAGCCCCAATTCAATGCATCCGCCGCAGTAACGATACCTGAACTTGGTTATAGTGAGTTTTATCTACGGTCTGTGCCAATCACGTACTCTCTTTTGCGTTGAAACTACGCATGCGCAACGCGAGGACGAGGCGTGCGGACCTTCAATCGATGGTGCCAAGAATGCTCAAACGATACGCGCGCAAACGTGGCGCGAAGCGTCGGCGTGCGAATACGCTTAGACAAACGAAGCACGTGATTGACACAGACTTTGCGATTATAGTGATGGGAATTACCAATATCAATAGTTCTAGCCTTCCAAATCCGATTTTCAGTCAGCATATCCTCAAATTCATCAATTCTCTCCGGAAACTGAAGAAAAGGCTCGGTTAGGGCATATCGCACAGCGGATTCCATTCTTAGATTCACGGTTAGCGCGGCTCGGGTCCTCGCGAGCCGCCTCGCTTGGGCCATTCGACGCGTCGCCAACGTGTTTCGGGGCATTTTCCCAGTCTTGTCAGCCATTGTTGTTCAAAAATACGGTATTTCGCACTCCTCAAGCGTGGAAAAATATATCCGTGAGGGCAAATGGGCAAGAGACCCATGCGAGGCGGCTTGCGAGAACCCGAGTCGCGCTGATGATGACACTCAAATTGGAATTCCCTGTAAATGGTTGTCATACCTTTTCGAGCCAATCGTATATGTCATCCAGTAAACCGAGTGGAAGGTCCCATGCTACTCCCCCAGGGCGAACGTAATTTGCATGCATTCGTGCCCCACAGACACGTTCGGAAAACTCAAGAAGTTTTTCTCTTTCTGAAAGAATAAGAATTATTTAAGAACTAGATATAATCGAGTTTGTAAGAATTCTCGCCTTCAAACATCCAAAAAAGCGGTGTCATGGCACCAATGTCTAGAGCATGTGAACATAGAGCAATCATATGGTTTTGTATCCTGGTCATCTCAGCGTACAGTGCTATAAGGAAAATGACAAAGAAGCTTTTAGTTTCCAAGCAACAAATGGGGGTAGGAGACTATACATTGCCGAAAGGGGTAGCCCACCCGTACACCTGCGACAGCTCCGCACATTACAGATAGTAAAGATTTGTAACAGCTATCCGCGCGTGATGGGACCCATCGGCGAACATAGTCTCCTGCCCAAGAAATAGCCGTCCTCTACTCACTCCGAATATACTTTGCTCGCGGTGGGATATTGATGCCCAGCAGCTTTTCGACAGCAAGTGCATAACCTTGTTCGTTGCACATCATCGAAACATAGTCAAGTCGATCGAAAAATGGAACAGCCTGAAGTTCATGGAATTTAGAGGGGAAAAACACTGCTCTATAAAAAGGTAGATTTTGAGAATGAGCACAAATCCAGTGAAGGTCATGGAGTAAAAGTCAAAACGCTCCTGTGTTCTTTTCAAACCATTTTTTGTACATCCTTTAAGAAAAAAATGGGCAACGTTTCCACATCTTTTTCATTTTCTGCAAAATTATTTTTCTTGGAAGTCTATAGTCATCAAAGATAGCAAGTTTTTGTTTTTATTAGGGTACACTTAGGTTTTGATCGCCAGGGTTTCTAATGTAAGCTCATCCATTATCGCATCTTTGGTAGGTTCACTGTGTGAAAATAAGATGATCTCGAATAAGTGCAAATTCAGGGAGATATCACTGACGTGAGCAAAGGAAAATGCGAACGAAAATAATTATCTAATGACATTTGTCTTCATCAATCTGCTTGCAATTCTTAGATGCTCATCAGCGTTTAGATCATTAGATCGTTTCTCGTTACAAATCTTACTGGGTAAATGCGACAGCCGTTGGTAAAAAGTGAAAGCGATTATAGGAGAGATCAATCATCCTGTAATATGAATGCGTGAATCAGTAGCATCTATGACATCAAAAAGACGCGTTTATTCAACCAGCATTCTATGGTTGATCACTAAAAGTCGTAAATAATCCTTGTAAATGCAAAGCGTTCACGCGCATTTGTCACATTATATTATAGTTTCTAGAAATCTTAGCTTTTTCGTTACCTAAAATACCAAGCAATGGTGCCAATTCACTACCCAATTAACCACATGCCAGAGTACAGCTTGCATTTCCACAAAATTTTCCTTGTTCCAGTGGTAGCTAGCTTTCGCGGCCATTACATTGTAGAGTTAATCATCGATCGCTTTCTGTTAGTAGGATTACGGTAGGAACTTCTAGCATACATCGTCATTGTCAATAAGCCGCCATTTCAATTTTTTTCAAAAATCTCAAAAGTTGTCTACCAGGACTATTTACGTGCTGATATTACTGCTCTGCTTTCTTGGCATTATTTGAAGTTTTTTGTTTGGCATAATCGTATATTTGAGGAGTCCTGAAAGACATTTGCTACGGTATACTTGACATAATCTACGAAAGAAGCATTATGTAAAGTGCAAACATAATAAGCATTAGCTCTATGGTCAACCTAGATTGAATTTTCTTGGTTGTTTCTTTGCTTTGAGACGATCTAGGGCCCTCTAAAGCTGGGAACCCTCTAAACCTTCCTCTGTAATCCTACAGTAATGAAGAGCGGTCGATGATTGCTCAGTATTGTAAGTTCAATTTAGAGTCATCTTTATGATGTGGTGTTTATGCGGCCGCAGTGGCTCTCTATACAACGAAGTTATTGAATTTTGAACGTTCGATACACTACTTCGGGACACCTTGTATCTTAATTTTTTGCTCTAGAGCAGAGTTTCGAAAATATGCCAAGGAAGCTTTTAAACGTCTACTCTCGACCAAAACAATGCTGAAAATTTAAAAATAAGTACAAATTAATTACCTGAGTGTATGTTCTATATTCGATCAATTTTTCTGTACCTCGATGTAAGAAGCCAATATGCGGCGTAGCTCTAATAACGACCTAGAATTGCATTTGCATTGGTCTGTTCACTGGGTGAAATCTTTTGACTAGAACGATAAAGACTCCGAGGAACTATCATTCAAAGAGACTGTAATCACAGTGGAGTTATGGATGTGTGCGTTTGCACAAAATATGCATAGCTCACGCATCGCAGATTTTTGGAAGCGCATACCTTTGCCATTTTGAAGTTTTTTTTTCTAGGAATCAAAGATAAAGTGACCACTCTTGGAACGTTCAATGAAGCAGAATGTGCATGAAAATTGACAAATTCGCAATTTGCGCGACATACGCATATTTTCTGTAAGCGAAATGTTGCGCTTGGAACCGATTCGTCTGTACAATCGAGTAATTTTTCGCTTAAAGGCACCGTCCACCCAAAGTGGGGGTGTACGAGAATCGATGGCATACATGTGGCCCTCCACACTAGGCCAACCCCCAAGTAGCGCCGCAAAAGATTCCTTCCGAAGCGAGAAATCCGCTCCGGAAGGGCCGTAATCCGGAGCTAGTCACTCCGCCCACCTGGTCGCCCCGCCCATTTTGCAGGTTTGGCGGGTTGCGGCGCTGATTTACGCCGGGCGTAGAACGCGCCGCAGCCCTGCGATTTGCATTGCGCCGTCCTCCAGAACGGGGTTTTTTGGTTATTTCGCGGATTCTCGACTACATATTCGGAATCAGGACCTTCGGAGGCCTGGAAGCGACAAAACATAAAAGTCGAGGATTTGGGTGGACGGTGCCTTTAAATTAGGGTCCTTCCGGCGCCAAGGATATGCGGTAATTTGCGCGTGAGCAAATAGCTATGCTTGTGGCCACTTGCGCGCGCAAAATGCAGGCATCACGGGCCTGACTATCTGTTTACGCAGAAATTTTACCGCATTTCGGCACCGCAAGCACATTATATTGGGCAAAAAATCCACTCGACTTCATTCGCACAGGAAAACAGCATAATTGTCATCTTGTATGTAGACACTGCTGATGACAAAAAATATACCTCCCCTTCCAATTTTAGTACCAGACGAAGCACACCATGTGCTGCGGGATGTTGTGGTCCAAAGTTCAGGATCATATTCTCAAGCTGTTTCTCACTTAAAAACAAGGGTTTTTGGAAACTTAATAGGTTTTCGAAGTAGTTTGGCTAAACTTCCCTACAGGCTAGTAGATCTGACTGTAAATATAGTGTCACTGTGGGCCCAAAATATGCCGACAACATGTGCGCGTGAACAAATTATGCTTGCAATTTGCGCATGCAAAATGGCCGCAGAGAGCACACTCTCGAGTTTTGTGCCCTCTGCGAATTCGCTCACGCGCAAATGTTGTTGGCAAATTTCGGCGCGCAAAATACTATATTTACAGTTAAATACTAGCCTTAACGCGATGTATTGCCAAATTACCGATGCTTTCCTTCGTATATGTCAGAATACGTCGGCATCTCGTAGGCTAACTTCTCTAATTTGTCCAAACCAATCGCCTTATCATATTCGTCATACTTCTCGCTCATCCATAATTTTCCCAATCCTCCAGCGCTCTGGAACAGCAGCGGCCGATTCTAGATGTTCACGTGAAATAAATTTATGTCTTTCCACCTTGAATTGTCTCTCGAATTTTGCATCTGGATACCAGATGGGATGCGAACATCTTCGTGTTAAAAACACTTGCGATGCAGCTGCAATCCGAGAGCACACCCCAGATTTGGTGCTGAGCATAATTATATAGCTTTCTGAAAGACCATACCATAACGGACTCAGAGCAACAGCAATACTAGCCAAATTAGACATTTCACAGACTTTTTATAAAGTAATAGACGTTTGATAGGCTAAAACGTTAGCTACTTTCCTGAAGGAGAGTCTAGGTGAACAGGACATTCGTGATTATCATGGTTTCTAGAATAAAAACATGAATTACTAAGCTGGTACGAAATGCGCTATTGCTTTTTCTAAAACCTACCCCCCTTCTTCATCTCCAAATAGTTCTGAAAGATTTTAGAAAAATAAAGATAGGCGAACTTGCAAGAGATTTTCATAAGATACACAAAAAATACCATACTAACACCTAATAATATACAGATATTTCTTACGCATATGAAAAGTGAAGCTTTTGATAAAAAATGGTTAGAGGGCTTGATTGACGGGATCGAACCTGCGTCCGACCTAGTCATAGCGTTATACTAAGCCACTCGTCCCCCCCCCCCAGCCTGGCTCAAGTTCTCTAATCAAAATCAAATCTAGCATTAAATGGAAGAATCATTTGTACAATTTCATGACTTATGTAGGAACTACCAAAAATTTTGCGACACATAAGGACATCCCTCTTCCCCCTCCTCCCTCAGTCAAATTTGGCAGAAACAGTTAGCAGTATCTTGCTTGGATGTTCGAAACAAGCGAAAAAGGACTTGCTATAAATTAGTATATAGTAGATACGGATATCCAGTTACTCTCTCACATAATAAAACATATTTACGGATAATAAAGAATGCGCAAAAAAGCATGTGATGTTAAAAATGAGTGATCTAACAGTTTTTACCTGCATATGTGCGGTTTTACTAAAAAAAATCTACGTTCAGAAACAGTCGAAACTTTTTTGCTTACGAAGTCCATAATGTGTAAGTGTTGCCGATAAGCAAAGTTAAGCTCAACCGCATGCCAACGACGAGTAGAAAAAAAAATTAAATTTCGCCTGTATTCAAAAATGAACGGGAAGTAAAGAACGCTCGGAACCAACCTGTCCAGATGGAGGCAGCATGTGGAAACGAGCATATGAAGCATGGACGAACTTTGCGCATGTATGAACTTGTCAGCTTGCTTCAGCATATGTTCAACGCGTCTAACACGGAATTTGTATGACTTACGTCTCAAATAATCAAATGGAAGGGGGGTACCTAATCGCCAAGAGGTGTGGCAGTGATTTCAGCGCATCGGCTGCGATTGGCCATGTTCAGGAAAAGAGCAATGGCAGAGAACGAAAGAGGGATGCAAGAATTTCCAAAAAGGTATAGTTCATTTATAAGATCGTGACGACGGATTTTACTGCGGACTTTGCACCCACAGGAGCATAAAACGCTCATACAAGAAGGCATCACCTCAACGTTCAGCTCAGTCACTTCCATTCTTTAAATATTATCATAGGTAAGCAACAAAACCATTTGACTAGAGATGACAACCAAGAAAACGCGATTTCCGGAGGTGGCGTGCGTGTCGCGCGCGGTCGCGCCATCGTCACGATTTTTCGAATGCCCTATATACTTTTTCTCCAAGTTTTCAACCCTCCTGTAACGTTTGAGCGAGCGCGGACACAGTTGGACCCTCCTCATTGTACTGCGAATTCATTGTCACAGTTTTATGAGGAGCCTATAGGTATATCCTTTCTAGTGAATTATTGACCAAGGATAGTCTTATTACTAAGAGTACAGCACTGGTTGTTCCGAAAGTTTTGTTCGATTTGCATATTTTTTCTTTCAAAAGGTTATAACTATTTTCAAGGTAGAAACTTTTGGACGGTTCAAATTCTGATAGATTAAGCATAGCGCCATTACAAAGATAGCTAGGTATGAAGAAAGGGCAAGCGAGAAAGAAGTGAAAATTTGGAAGATTCTTTTTTCTCTTCAGGACCATCCACTTTGACATGATAATGCTCCTAAATAAGGAGCAGCAGACAATTTTCCATTTGCCATCATTGACCTTTATTTCAAAGACTGTTTTGTAGGTAAAGGAAATCTATACTTATTGGCTGAGTGGAAAGTTCTGCGAGAACTGAATAAAGCTACTATTTGTCCTCTTCTCTGCTCGCCCAATATACCGACTTTCTATGTTTTTTTTTACTTGTTTCAGTGGAAAAATGCTTAACGGCTGATGGTTTCCTCTTGCCCTTGCTCTACTACAAAATGTGCAATATTAAACCGCTTATCTCTATGCGTAACACTGTCGCTTGTTTTGAGGTGATACACCTTCTGTCTGAAAGAGTGTGCTTATGTTAGTTCATTGCACCCCTTGTCCAGCACAAAATTTTACATAGAGAAATCCTTGAACGCTGCGGAGATTCTTTTCAAAAACATTTTTCTTAACACTTTTAAAACCCAAGCAGAGCAGACCTTGACCACTGCCGGTGTCGAACCATGGTTGACATGCAACAGTTTTTCTCATTGAGGCCTGAAAATCGGAATTTTAAATTAAACAGATAGCTTCTTTAGACATGCAAAATACATTCGATTCATAAGTGAATCAGCTGGATATCCCGCTCGCTATTGGTCAATTTACTGCGACCAATAGCGAAGTTGGTCAAGCGGATCAAGCGAAGCAGGTATGGCGCATGCCTTACAGCGCACAGTAGATCATGTGGCACCGAAATCGGACTGAATATATGCACTAACCCTATAAATAGCACCATGTAAAAAAGCTCGGTAATTATATGTATGGAGTTATACGTGTTTATGCTCAAGCCAACTCATAAGTGAAGGTTACCAAAATCAGGCGGCGTTTGAAGATGGGGTGTGTGACATTAAACGCATCTTTGAACGCTAGTTCCAAAACTGCTTTCCTTTTTTTGCGGAATAGGTTTCCGAAAGAAGTTACGAGTTGAAATATCCGAATTTGCCGAGCACTGAGTGGCTCAAAATCGACGGAAAGTTCTAAAACAATAATGCGGGCTCCACCGGCTTTGTTCCTTCATTGCAAACAATATACTTGATACAAAACTGATTTTCCACTTTCCGTGTTTTTGTATAGGATTTCGCCAATTTTGAGCCATATAAACCTTGGCAAATTTGGACATTCAAACGCTCATAACTTCTTTCGGAAGCTTATTCCGCAAAAAAAGAAAGCAGATTTAGAATCAGCGTTCAAAGTCACGTCCATTAATATACATCTCATCTTCAATCGCCGACTATTGTTGGTATCCCTGCCTTGTCAGCGTATTGGCCATTTCATAAACTCACCAAAGCATGTGATTTGCTCCCAGATTTATATAGAGGCAAACTGCGGACTTCTTCTGATATCGTGTATAAACTTGTTAACACGTTTCGGACCGGTGCTGCACATGGTGCAGCACGCGCCTTTGAAAGATCTTTTCAACGTTTGCAGGTTTTCTTTTTGTCTGAGGTTATCAAGTCAAAGGCCTAAGCTCCTCCTTTTCGAAAAGGTATGTAGAGCTGTGCCATCGATATCTGTTCAGGAGGGAAACGGCCCTTTTGAACCGCTCGCTATCACAGCGTGCCTCTGATTGGTCAACATGTCCGCTGCCTCAACGAGTTAGTACTCGTTCATTTTTGCACATTTTCTGTGTCCAACATGATGATAGGTCTTGGCACAGGCATATTACATGCTTCAACTAATGTAAGAATTTTCCCCGTTGACTGTGAATGCGACTTGTTAGCTTTGCCAGCGGCGCCGCACGCGGCGGGACGAGCATCGCGCGCGAAGGGTTCAAAAGGGCCTACACCCGTTCAGGAGATATGAGAACAAATCGAACGTCAGTTGCAACGAAGTGCGGCAACGCGAACGACGCGTGCGATGTCGCAACTTTTCTTTGTTTCGATTTCAAAGAGAAAAGCCGTAGTTCCCATAATGATGTGTGTCGTGCATACCTTTGATAGTCTAGAGACAGGGCGTTAAAAGTGAAAGTTGTTTGAACATCTGACGTCACAAGTAGTGAAGGTTGTTCAAAGAAAATTAGAGAAGAGAAAATGACGTAAAACAGATATAAAAAGCAAAAGAAATTGTTGAAAACCGGATAAAAACGCTGCTGAGGTTTGGAATCTTTCATTTGGCGGCTTTTCAAAGTGCAAGTTTTCGCTCCAGGACCAGCCATGCGCAACACGGGTTTTGATTTTTGATGCGTCCTTTGAATTTTTACCCCCGCATTGACGTTCCTGTTTCCTGGGAGGTTGTCTGGATTGTTGCGCTTATCGTTCTGAGCAACAATCGTCCAAGCTGGAATAAAATCGATGCGAAAGCACTGAAACGAAACAAGATAAAGAAAAACGCTTTTACGATTTTTCGCAAAAAATTCCACTATAATCGAAGAGATAAGGGCTGGGTGGTTGTCTGCATTATGAACAGAAGCAAGATCTATAGAATGTACGGAAAAACCGCGTGAAAATAGTCAATAGGAGAAAAACAAGAGATTTTCGAAAACAAGGTTTTTGCCGGATTTTTCGATCAGATCAAAAAATGTGGTTCTGGGACGTTGTCAGCGTGAAAATAGAAATCAAGAGCTTCAAAATGATATATAGCTTGCTAAAATTGGGTTCGAAACAGCGACGAAAAGTGTATCAGAGCCAAATGCCCCGCGCCCGCGTTTGGGGTAGCGAGGTAGCGCGCAGCGCGCGGAGACGCAGACGAGCAGCGGAGACAGACCAGAGCCGCCGGGGCATTTGGCTCTGGTAGTAGATCTCCGCGGGGTCTCAACGAAACCCTGCAACATTTTATATCATTCTGATCTCATGACACGGCGAGGAGCACTGACAACGTCCCAAGCTTTGAAAATAACTCATTAACGAGATAAACTAGCGTTTTTGCGCGCGATCCTCTGCGCAGGATTTGAGCGCAGTTTCTCATTTTTATATAACTCCAATAGCTTTCTTAAACTTCTGAAACTCAATTTCGGTCAATCGAGAGGTTAACTGAGAAATTGTGTCCTGAATTCTGGCGAAAATTTCACAGAAACCTTCTTTTTTGACGTAAAAAAGGCAACGAAGACGCCAATTTTCGGTTTCGCTCAAATAAGCTAAAGATATTATTCCCTATATTTGTTTCATCAACATTCGTTCCAATATAGTCAGGATAATTACATTCGGGTTTTGCCCTTCTGTTTTTCCAGGTGAAGGTTGTGTCCCCTCATAGCCCTCAAAGTGAAGGTTACCAGAGTACGTGGTTCTATGTATCGAGGGTATGGTCTGGGTATGGATCTTACCTGACATGCTGATTACAGATGTAGCACACGATCTACGAATTAAGGTCCCTTTGTTGGCTAACGGCTGAGAGTATCCTCTTTTTCGCCGCGCGCGATTTCGCGGTCCGAAACGTGTTAAACGTCCAGGTTTACAGCATTGTTTCTCGTATCCTCCCGCCATTAAGAATCGCAACCATTTGAAGGCACCGTTCACCCTAAGTTGAGGGTGTTGAGCTTTTCGCAGCATATAATAGTAGGGTCCCCTGCCAATCCAATGCCAAGTCGCGGCGCAATGTTGCTTCGGAAGCGAGAAAATCGCTTCGGGATAGCGAAAATGCACGAGGACCCCCATCCACCCCCACCCTCCTCCATCCATGCCCCTCCCCCCATTTGTGCGCGCCCATCCAATCCCTGTTCCGGAAAGCCGGCCGGTGGGTCCTCCGGAACGGGGATTATCGGTGTTTTCGCACATCCTCGACTTCATATTCGGAATCAGAGACATGAGAAGGCCCTGAAACAACAAAAAGGTGGAAGCAGCAACCCGGGAACCTAGCTCACTAATCATTCATACGTTCGTCAGTGGTCGTCCGTGACCCGCACTCGGCAAAGTCTCAGGTGGGGCTGTTAATCCTAGGCAACATGTTTCCGTTTCCAGCTAACTTTTGTCTGTTCCTTGCCTTTGATGAGACGTTTGAGAGGATAAATCTCATTTGTTCCCCACTTACAGGCTCCGACGAAGGCGAGTTGGCCGAAACGTCAGCCGAAATAAAAGTTGTAACAATCTTGGTGGAGGCTTAACATCTTGAAACCAGGGTCAAGCGTGCTGATGCGATCAGGGATCCTCATTTACGACCCCCCCCCCCTTGAAGGTACCCATCCGTACGACCCCCCTTTTTCCCTCCCCCCCCCCTCCCCTGCCCACATTCCCACGTACCCTCACTCATTTATCCCCCTTACCTCCCCTGCCCACATTCCTCGCGGTAACCTGCATAAACGAATGTCAATCTAAAAAAACACCTGCGTGAGAACTTCAGTGAGGTTTCGAAAGCAGAATTTCTAGGCCAATGGGTGCGTCCATCATCTGTAGCACACATACACACCTTTAATAATGTTTGAGATTCTGCAAGTTTTTTTTTTTGAATTTTCAGGCATACTTCAGGCCAGCAAATTCGATTCCCATAGGCGACACAAATTTTTGCATGGAGAAAAAATGACACTCTTGAACTACAAAAGATGTTTTCGACTAAGAAGCTTACTTCCTACCTCTTCCACAGTTTTTCCCCGAAAAAAAAACCGCTTGAGCGCCGTCCAGAACGACGTCAAAAACGTGCATGAGCACGGTAGTTTGAAAATTCGTAACTAAGGCCAGGAAAAGACTGAGAGGCTGCAAAGCACAGGTTCTGTAGTATAGTGCCCAGACTATCCAAAGAAAAAGTTTCAGCTTTTGAGGAGCAGTAAGCTCGAAAAAATCTAGATGCGACTCTCGCAAATTTAGATGCGATCCTAAAAAGCAAAAAGTGGGATTTTTGAGCTTGAAACTTTGTAACTTACCAGAGAAGTTATAAAACAGCCTGCAATTTTTACGAGGAAAAGTAGGAGGATGGTCTTATATTACAGCAGAATTGCAGCCAACAAGCTTCAATAGCTCCGAAGAAATTTAGATGCGACCCAGATACGACCCCCCTCTCCTGACTTTTTGCTACCATACATAAAATCATAAGAAAATCCACAGTTGACAAAGTAACACCAAATTTTGCACTGATATAGCGGAGCATCTTAAAAGTACAGATAAATCATATGAGCCCGTAAAAAACATTACAAAAAGATTTAGAATTTTATGATTGTCACAGCTGGTAAAGACATTCGCTTTTGTCGAGTGTGTGAGACTTCAGGAAGGCTTCAGAAGCAAGATTTCTAGGGCAATCGGTACATTTAGCATTTTTATCAAATAATACATCCTTCAAAAGTGTTTTGAGCTCTTGTAAATGTTTTTTTTTGAGAATTTCAACAGAATTTTTATCTTTTTTTTCCGATTTCCACTTTTTTATTGATTTATTGTAAAGAACATAACTAATTGCTTGCTTTTTGATTCCCTTTGAAGCCTAGGGTATTTTAGTCTAACTACCTCCACTTACGACCCCCCCCCCCCCACCTTAGATACCCTCTTACGACCCCCCGTTGCGACAGTCGCATCACAAGCTTGACCCTGCTTGAAACAAACAAAAAGTTGGAAGTCGAAAATCTGGGTGGACGGTACCTTTAAACTGCCACGACTACGCCTATGTAAAAGCGGGGCCGATGGTAGGGTGCAGTATTAGGTTATCCCAAAAGTAAACCGTATTTTAGAAGTAAAGAAATTTTTTTTGTTTTCCCAGTAAAGTTAGGATGTCATTGATAGAACACAGCAAGCTCTACATAATGACTACCAAAGATCCACCTAACTCGTGATCAAGGAAAAGTTTGAGGCCAAAATCGAAAAAAATTCATCACCCTGAAAATTGAATTTGCCAAGTAAAATTCTACTGACCTCGAACTTGATTATTATACAGTAGACTCATAGTAGTACTCAACTCAAATATGCCTTTGCTGAATTTTTCCGCTTTTAAAGCAAAAAAAAAGATAGTCCAAAAATGGCGAACTCTGCCCCCTGCTCCTTCCAAATATGTCGTTGCATACTACAAGCCTTAGTAAGTATGACCTTAGGATTTTACCTCTGTTTGTGCTTTGGTATACTTTTCTTTTAGCTCCGTTTTTACACTGATTACAACTTAGACTTACCTTTGGTGGTCATTTTGTAGAGATCGCTTTGCTCTATCGAAAGGTACCCTAAGTCGGCTAGGAAAACAAAAGCAATTTGAATTAATCAAAAATACGTTTTACTTTGGGACAACGTAATAGTATGTTAGTAAGTATCTGACGAGGGAAGCTACCTAACTTACAAGGGAACCGTTTCGAGTCGAAGTGGCCTTTCCAGATGAGACCATACTGCTTTGAAGAGTATTAAGCGGTGATTCCAAATCTGCTTTCCAAATCTGCCAAGCGCCTCTGGACGCCGAGTTGTGACCGTTTTTCGGAACGAAAGATGAATGCAGAATTTAGGTAAAATTAATTGTTATAATCTTTCGAGCGCTCAGATAAAGCAATGTTGAGTATTAGCATATAAAATAAAATGTATCCATTGCATACAGCTCTGATACTCGACACTGGACCATTTGAGCAAATTTGGGCGATTTTGCTTCAGTTTTGCGTTTGATTTTTTGACCTGAAAAACGAGTATAACTCGGCGTCCAGAGGCGCTTGGCAGATTTGAAAAGCAGATTTGGAATCATCGATTAATGCTCTTCAAAGCAGTATGGGTCTCATCTGGAAAAGCCACTTCGACTCGACACGGTTCCCTTGTTAGCTCGGCCTTTTGACATGCGACATATATATATTCTAAATCAGCTTCAAACGCTGATTCCAAATATGCTATTCCTAGCTGCCGCGCACCATTCCGAAGCGAGTTATGGACTTTTTCCTGTGCGAAATTGGCATACTCCGCATTCACTGGCATCACGGCAACATCACCTAAGTGCTAATACACTTGGCGTTAAGCTTCTTCTTAATGATAAAAGATTGGATTTGTGTTATTTCGATATCTCAGCAACTTTTTCTTGCAGATTTTTATCTACAGACAGCTTTCCCACGTTTAGTAGTATGTCAATTTTGCGCAGGAAAAAGGCCACAACTCGCTTCGGAATGGTACGCGGCAGCTACAAATAGCATATTTGGAACCAGCGTTTGAAGCTGATTCAAAAAATATATGTCTCTTGCCAAAAGGCCGAGCTAAGTTAGGTAGCATTACTAATAAGGTGTGCTTGCAATGTTTCTGAAGACATCTGCCAGAAAGCCTAATCGCGCGAGGTATGCCCGGCTTATGAGTGCTACGAGCGCTGATATCAAAAACCGTGATATCTACCTCATTGTATTTGTTTACCATTATTGGCATCCCCTTTCTCTTTGGCAAATTCCATTTTACTTCTAAACGCTCTCACTGTGCGGATATACTTACGTCAGTGCCTCTCCTACACTGCTAAAAGCCACTCTTTTTTTTTGTCTAAGACGAGGTATCGCAGGATTCGCGGCATGTCGCTGCCTTGCACACTTGCAAGATTTACTCGCCACTTATCACTGAATCAGGGATTACGTTACATCTTAAATGCACGTCCAGGATATGAGTAAGTTTTTGGGATAATTTCTGTTAAAGGCACCGTCCACCCAAAGTGGGGGTCCACGAGATTCGATGGCATACTAATGTGGGCCCCCACACTAGGCCAACCCCTTAGTTTCCCCGCAAAAGTTTGCTTTCGGAGCGAGAAATCCGCTCCGGAAGGTACGTAATCTAAAGCTGATCACTCCGCCCAGCTGGTCACTCCATCCATTTTGCAGATTTGGAGGGCTGCGGCGCTGATATATGCAAGGCGTATAACGAGCCGCAGATCCTCCACCCGTCCCGCTTGTTCTCCAAAATAGGGGTTTTTTGGGGTTTTCGGAAATTCTCTACTTCATATTCGAAATCAGGGCCTTCAGAAGGCCCGGAAGCGACAAAAACATGGAAGTTTAGAGTTTGAGTGGACGGTGCCTTTAAGCCAATGGGGGTAGCTACACTCTTGTTGTTGTCATCTCTCTTTTGTGCATAGGAATGCACGATCCACCCAACGGCTGCATCTTTTCCTTTGGCAATCTTGCACGCTGATGGCTACGTTTGCCTTAGTCTCCTACGTGCAAAAAAAGGGTGGTAACAAGACCATTGCCAGATTATTCAGGGCTTCATCTGGGTTGAACAAAACGACACCTTTGGGATGACAGTCCAGGGAGACTGCGTTGTGCTCCTGCCTACAACGCCAGCACCGTCTCAGCAGCGCCGACTTTATGGTTCACAGCAACAAAGCACCATCACAAAACGTTGAGATCGCTTTGTCGCCACCCATCTATAATCCCTTTGTCGATCCGCATGGGATCTTGAGTTTTCAAATGGTCGTCCTACGTTTACACTAGGAAGACCATTAGCAGCATCATTGCTACTCCCCAATACCAGCAGCTGGGCAATCAGAACGGGATTTTCACGAAAAGGTGCAAGACCTTTACAACGAAAAGTCCTTCTACAAGTTTTCTTACGCAGCCCCAACGCGGTCGCAATGTCACTAAAAAAGGAAAATAGAAGTGAAAAGTTTGATGGGCTCCGGATCAAGAAATGCAACGTATCACTGAGCTTCTCTCCGTCACACCGCTTTTCAATGGATATCATCTTTATGATGGAGGAACAACAATCTTTGGACTTGAAAATTGCTCTGCGATACGTTCCATCCATCGATCGACCACATACTCTTAATCAAAGGTGGAGCTCGCTTGATGTTGTAAGTCATCCTTCTGTAGCAACTCCAATCACCGCCTCATTGGAGCAAAAGCACAATCCACTTGAAAGCTGGCGCACTGGCTCTGTTATCCGTATGCCTTATTCATGCTCCCAAAATGATGACTTTGAAACTCACCGCGCGAGGCTGTACATCTTATATATAAAGCTGAATGTCTGTTTGTATGTATGTATGTATGTCTGTCTGTATGTCTGTACGTATGTTCCGAATAGAAAATTCCATTTCTGAACCGATCCGGACCAAACTTGGCACACATACACTTCGGGCCCCGGCGGGTTCATAGGCTACTTTTCGTCATCGATCGATATCGATTTTATCGATTTTTATCGATTTTTTGCTGAGTTCACCTACGGGGCTGGGAGTTGGCACAGGGGGGTAATCGAGCATGGGGATTCCGAATACAATATTGGTTTTCAGGATTATCGATTACTTTTATCGATTTTATCGATTTTTTTGCAAAGTTTGAGCTACGGGGCTGGGAGTTCGCATAGGGGGGTAATCGAGCATGGGGATTCCGAATACAATATTGGTTTTCGGGATTATCGATTACTTTTATCGATTTTATCGATTTTTTTGCAAAGTTTGAGCTAGGGGGCTGGGAGTTGGCACAGGGGGGGGGGGGGGGTAATCGAGCATGCTGATCATCCCCAAGGGGGGTGATCAGCATGCTATTACACCCCTGTGCCAAATTCCAGCCCCCTAGCTCGAATTTTCAAAAAATCGATAAAATCGATAAAAGTAATGGACGATCTTGAAAACTAATATTGTATTCGTAATCTGCATGCTCGATTACCCCCCTGTGCAAACTCCTAGCCCCGCAGGTCAAACTTTACAAAAAAATCGATAAAATCGATAAAAGTAATGGGCGATCCTGAAAACTAATGTTGTGTTCGTAATCAGCATGCTCGATTACCCCCTGTGCAAAATCCCAGCCTCGCATGTCAAAATTTACAAAAAATCGATAAAATCAATAAAAGTAATCGATAATTCTGGAAACTAATATTGTATTCGGAATCCCCATGCTCACTTCCCCCCTGTGCCAACTCCTAGCCCTGTAGGTGAATTCTGCAAAAAAATCGATAAAAATCGGTAAAATCGACATCGATCGATAACGAAAAGTGGACTCTGACACCCGCCGGGGCCCGAAGTGTATGTGTGCCAAGTTTGGTCCGGATACGGCGGAGCCGGGTAAGCCAGCTAGTCATAAATGAATTGTAAACAACTGTTCATTCTTGAAGCATCTCCATCTAAGATCGGTGATTTTGAGAAAGAAAACTTGTTTGCCAAAGAATAAATATGAATTCGAACAGATTATTGAATTTATTTTGGCTTGATAATTGTTATAAAGATAATAGTCATTTTGGGCTACATTTCCATGCAAAAATTTTCCATATATTCAAGTAAAACCTTGTCAAATCGGCTCTCTACGCGATCACCACTTTTTGGCGCTGTTTTCGCGGAAAAGCAAACTTTTTGAGCACTTTTTGAGCCAGAATTCTTGGAGCGCAGAGTTGCTTGTCAGGCAAATCAAGACTTTGCAAAAAGTTGAATTTGTGACCTAGTTTTGCGCGCCAAAAGCCAGATGGACACGTTTGAGGCGCAATTTTTGAAGGACGCGCTCGTCGAACCGGCTCGTCCTTGTGCATGGTGGGCCTACATGCTGGTATGGTATGCTATGCAAAATTGTAGCTCGATAGCTTGGCTGCAGCTGCCTTTATGAATTTCGTGACAGACAGACAAACACACACACGCATAAAAAGACAGACGTTTAGCGCTTTATTATATGTCATGATGTTAGTGGCCTACGAGGAGGGTTCAACGAACGACTACGACCGGCTTCAAAAGGATTACGAGCTTGTGTGAAGTACGCTCGATACTTTACGGAAGGACTGGAAACACCTTCTGAAGCCACGAAAGAGTTGCTTGAAAGAGATCTTTAAGGCAGGATAAAAAACAACCTCCTTGGAGCAACTGATGGCGAACTCCAGTTGCAGAACGGCTTTGCGGGAAAATCTCAGGATGTACAAGCAAGCCAAGATATTGGAAGCAGCCGGAGGAAGGAGAAGTTTTTTGATGCGACCTCTGCGAATATCATGGACCGCTGGCTGCATTATTGAGAGGACGGGACTCCGACTCCTTCCCGATATAAGATGGGATCTACCGCGAAGAACTTCCAAAAAGAACACCAACCTCTTCCGCTCGTCAACGCCCCTGCCCATGCTCGTTTTCACTGAAGAAGTAATACCATGAATACTACCTTTTGAAGGGCGCAATGCAATGCAGACCATAAAGATATAGACGGCTTTAGGACCAAACCATCTTTTTGACGTTCCTGCGTGCCGAAGGACAGCAGAAGGAAAGCATTTCTGACTATTTAAGAGATCTAAGAATCGGTTTCCTTTTCAAGAAAGTCAAGGGGATTACAAGACTGTTGAACAATATGCCCACTGAGTGTGCTCTGCAAGCTTTTTACGAAGATAATCCTCACAGGAACTGGAAAAAAACCCAGCCTCAAGAATAAACTGGATTTCGAAAAGATTTAGCATAAACCACATCTAGACTGAGAGTCGTAAAAGTCTGTCGGAAGTAATCGACTGCTTTTCGTCCTGACCTTCTCAAACTACGAAAAATTCTTTACAGTTCCGCCGAAACTGTTCATCCGGCCTTGATTTGGTAATGAAGTCAGTGGATCGTGGGAGAAAGTAACGAGTTGATGGAAAATTTCTTTTGGACCTTCGTTTTGCGAACGATGTTTTTTGGGCAGTATTACCGAAGCGGAGACGATGCTGAGGAAACTCAACGAAGTAAGAAGGAAGACCAAACTGCGATAAATTGGAGGATGACTAGGTTCCTGAAGAACGCCCTTCGCAAAGATGCAGAAATGGACTGGAAATCATCTCCATCATGGAAAACTTTTTAAGTGTATCTTGGAGGTTCAAAGAACATAGAGAACGGCTTGAGGGAAGAGCTAAACAGGAGAAGAAGAGCAGCAGTTTGAGCCGCATCGATCCTCTGAGGAAGCAACTGACTGCCTGACGACCCTGAGATTCGCGCCCACCTGTTCGACTCAACCGTTAATCCTGCATTCTGTTACGGAGCTGAACTCGAGCCGACTGTAGCCACATCGAAACGCAGTCTTCTAAAGTTGATCCGACAAAAACAACATCTGTCGGATTTCGCAGTACGGATATGAAAAAACGTCTTTTTGTGTCCAGTGGAATACGTCGCGAAAGCGAAGCATTGATAAAACGGTCATTGTGGGAAGAACAGAGGATAGATAAACACTAAGAGCATCAGAGTAGATTTCCGCAAAGCAAAACGTCCCCGGGAAAGATCAATAGAGATGAGCAGAAGTGTTCATGAAACTGATGGATCAGCTGAGAATTCAGCTGGATACGACTTTTACCCCTACACTCGTGGATGCAGCTACCGACAAAAACCAAGAGGATCATGAATGTCCGAAGCGAGGACAGGGATCAGTGGAAACTTCTGTACTGGGGCTCGCAGCTCAACGTTCAGGGCCCACACTGGAGAGATCAGGCAGCAGAGCCCGATCTCTTTAGTGTGGGCGCTGAACCTCGTGCAAGCCTTAGAATCAAATCAATTAGCCTCAAATTTAGAAAATCTCTTGCGACAAAACGACTGCCAAATCTCACACGATCATTAGTGTACGAATTATCAGATTTAATGACATGATAACGCTACACCTGTAACAGCGGCAACAGTGGCAACACCGATAACGCATGGCACAATCCCAAATCACTCAATTTTGTGCACTAATGTGAAACTGTTCAGCTTTCCACCTATGTGTGATGTCGTCGTTGTTGGCGGAGGTATCGTTGGAAGCGCAACAGCTCGACAACTCAAGATTGATTATCCAGACCTGAGGATATGCATGGTTGAAAAAGAAAGCGCACTAGGTAGCATATGATATAAGTTCAATTTTATCACAAGTTTTCGTCTGCGTTGGAAACTTGACTTCATTCTTCTAAACTCCTTGTCTCGAAGCCATTCCACATGAGAGAGGAGAAGCGAATTTCTACCCAAAGTCGACTATGTTATAAGGATGCGAACATTGAACGATCTCGGATAATCAAAAGCTATTGTGTTTCGATTTTCTAAATAATTCTAATTCTAGCTAAACACCAAAGCGGCAACAATGGCGGTGTCATTCATTCTGGGATTTTCTACAAACCTGGAAGTCTTAAAGCTAAGCTCTGTATTGAAGGTAACTTTGGAGGTTACGATCGATGCGTCAAAATATTCCAATAAAAGTTTAGGTAACGAACTTGTTTATAAATTTCTTGCCGAGAATAAAATTCCGCATAAGAAAGTAGGCAAATTAGTAGTAGCTGTTGATCAGCAAGAAGTTTCAAGATTAGAAGTAGGCTGTGCGATACCATTATGAGTCTTCTATATAGATGGTTCAGGAACTCTGTCGAGCAGCAGTAAAAAATGGTTGCAAAGACATCAAAATGATCGACCAGACGCAGATCCAAGAGATACAACCACATTGCAGAGTATGCATGATTAGAAAAAGTTTTGATATATTCTTTCTTCGTTCAAGGGATTGAAAGCTATATGGTCTCCAAACACGGGAGTGGTTGATTGGGCGGAAGTATCCAATGCATTTGTCACCGATTTTGAAAAACGGGGAGGAACGGTCAGTAGTTTTAATCAAATTTTGGTCTACAATCACTCTTCATTGCAGGTTTATGTAAATTATGATGTAAAAAGCATAACTCCATCAACTCATCCGCGTTTTCCCATTTCAGTCCGTTCAGATTGGAAATGCGTAAATAATTATTCTATCTATTTTAACGTAACACCAATATTATTAGTTTTATAGGCACAAATTTACACAAAATTTGTGGTCACTTGTGGTGGTTTGCATTCGGATAAGTTAGCCCAAATGAGTGGTTGTAGCCCGTCTCCCAAAGTTCTACCTTTTCGAGGAGACTATTCGCTTTTAAAGCCTGAGAAAAAGAGTCTCATCAAAACAAACATCTATCCCGTAAGCTTTGTAAAAAGGATAGTCATCATCGACTAATGTATTTACAGGTACCTGATCCTCATTCACCTTTTCACGGAGGCCATCTCACTCCTAGAGTAAATGGAGATGTTTGGATTGGCCCTAATATTAGACTAGCTAGCAGTTTCATGGAATTACCGGAGCTTTTGCAACATAAGTATGTTATGCAAAGTAAATGTAACTGAATAATCAACCTCATAAACAGAGGAGTATTGACAAAAAGAGGGGCGGGGATAATTGTACACGGGGATCAACAGAATAGCTACGCCATTGAAGAATCTTGATATACACCTTGAGATACATCTTCAGTCGTTACCAGTCTTTTCAGAAAGGGCAGATAGTGAACACTTTTTGAGATTCTTACGATCGCTTGGTCTATCTTTGATCCAAAAACACGCTAAAAACAAACTGCTGTTTCCGCTTCTTTTCTGGGCAACTAGACAAGGATAGTATTTATTTTATCAACACTAATCCTTTGATCATTCTTCTCACATTTTCCTCATTTTCCTCTTCAGTTTGCCTCTCAGGCTGCAAAGTAATTCCGATGAAATTCAGAGGAATGCGAAAGTTATCAAACAAACATGGTCTGCGAAAATTATACAGTGGAACATCTACTGGTGATCAGATGCAACATTTACAACGTATCATGCCAGACTTGAAGAAAAGCGATGCGAAAAGGTGAACGTTGCTTTATCACCAAAGTAAAAATATTGGAAAACATAAGTTCCAGAGGCCCCAGTAATGAAGTAGCTGAAGCGGTGGACGATAATGGTAATATCGTAGACGATTTTGTGTTTGACAGCGGCAATGGACCGGTAAGTTTTGACAGGTTAGCTATGAAGCAGATGAGTTGCAAAATTGAATTTTAGTTATCAAAGCGTGTGCTACACGTTCGCAACGCTCCATCACCAGGCGCCACCTCTAGTATGGCCATAGCTAGAATGATATCCAAGGAAATTAAATCGCGAATTGATCTGTGATTCTATAATGCTTCTTTTTACATTCCATATGATAATGACTACTTTGACTAAACTCAAAGCTACATGGTGATGAAATGTTAAAAGAATTTGTGTAGCTACTTCAATAATAACTAACAAAGCTGCTTCCCATATTAATGACTGACCTATTCTTAATCGCGTACTGATCTGTGGAAGCTTGTTAAGGTGTGAATAAACGACGGTACATTGTCAAATAAACATGAGAACACAAATTTTTGCCATCATACCTTCGATACATAGAAAAATCTTTGGTAACCTTCACTTCGAGCGATATGAGAGAACACAACCGTCACCAAGAAACGCAATCATCCCTGGCTTCGCTCCGGGTTAAAATCATCTATATATATATATATATAAAACTCAGAATTGTGAGTTTGGAGGCTATGTGCGCTATAGAAACGCGCACCGCTCAACCGATTCCGCTGAGACTTTGCACACATACGTTTTCGACCCCTGCGCAGATGATAGGCTACTTTTTGCGGCGATTCGTTGGTTCTTTCTATGGATTTATTGATTTGTTTACGTTTTTCTAAGGAACTGAAGGCTTATCATGTTGAATAAAGCATTTTCCTATAATCGTGAAAGGAGTGCGGTGAACCTCATTTTCACCACAGGATCACGAGGATGCGGTTTGAAGCGGATGTCCCAGGGTAAGTCCCATAATATATAGGGCGGGGGGGGGGGGGGCTTGCAGCGCAGGTGAACGGAACAAGGCCCGGGCTGGACCGGGGGAAGCCAACTAGTAACTAATATATTGGAATAAATGTAAATGAAAGTGTAAAGAGTAATATTTCAAAAATAACACAGCAAAACTGAAAAATTGCTCTTTTACAACCTTCTTTGAGCTAAAAACGAGGTTTTTATATAAACTTCCATAGTATTTAGAATATTTCTTCTCAGCTAACCTCTTTTCGGACTACAACTAGGTTTCAAAAACTTACGAGAGCTCTTGTAGCAATAATAACAAGAAAGTGCGCTTACTTGCGCAGAAGTGAACGGAAGTGCTGCTTTATCTTTTGAGGAAGTAATTTCATGTTGTTGGTGTCATGACGATCAGAACGATATATAATGTTGCAGGGTTTCGTTGAGACTCCGCGATCTAACAAGGGAAGGATACTTGATCGCAGTGACGATTGGATAAGCGGTGTATACCGCGTATACTGTCCCCAGACGGTCTCTAAACCGCATTCCATATCTGCTATGACGTCATTCTGAAGGAGTTATAAAGGGTTTTCGGTGCAGTAGATAGTGGCTTGGACTGCGGAGGTGGACGTCGTGGGTTCGATTCCTTTGGGACGCCACCCGTTTTGCGATTTTGTAAATTTTAGCAGGCAATTTGCAAAACCTGTCGACATCAAAAAAGTTGATTTTTGCAATATGAAGCAATATATTTAGATTTATTGGCACTAAACTACCGTCTAACCTGAAAACACTCGCTTTTAGTTTTTTCATTAAACATTTCACTCAATTTTACATTGAAAGGCCTTCATGAACACATATGATATGAAAGCACAAATTGTGCAAAACAAAAAACACGTTCACAGTGCGCACAACGAATAAAAAGAATGTTTTTGCAGCCGTCTACACTACATGCTCTCATCAAATCTTGAGCGAAGCAAAACTGCAACGGGGTTTCGAAGGGACCAGGGTGTTCGTCAAAATATCCGGCAGCAAACCAGGAATACTGAGAAAATTGTAAAACCTAGGAGCAGTAAATTGGGCGTATATGAGTGATAAAGATAAAATTGAAGTATTAATTTGAGAAAATATTCAATGAAAGAGGCTAAAAACGAGTGTTTTTAGGTTAGACGGAGGTTCAGTGCCAATAAATGTTAATATATTGCTCCATATTGTGAAAATCAACTTTTTTGATGTCCAGGTTCTGCAACTTGCCTGCTAAAATTTACAAAAGTGCAAAACGGGTGGCATCCCAGAGGAATCGAACCCACGACGTCCACCTTCGCAGTCCACGCCACTATCTACTGCACCGAAAACCCTTTATAACTCCTCCAGAATGACGTCATAGCAAATATAGATTGCAGTTTAGAGATCACCGTCTGGGGACGGTATACGCGGTATACACCGCTTACCCAATCGTCAGTGCGACAAGTATCCTTCCCTTGTAAGACCAGAGTTGAACGTTCCGTCGGCTCTGGTCTGCGTCTTCGCACCTTGCGTGCTACCTCGCTACCTCACATATAGGGTACGAAACATTTAGCTCTGTCATCCTTTTTTCATTGTTCTGGACTTATGTTATGTTATGTTAATTCTAGCAAACTGTATACAATATTGAAGCTCTTGACCTCTACTTTCACGCTGACAACGTGCAAAACCCCATTTTTCGAATGGGACGAGAAATCTAGCAAAAACCGTGTTTTCGAAAATCTCTTGTTTTTTCTCCGGTTTACTTCTTTTCAAGCGGTTTTCGTGCATTCGATGGAACTTGCTTCCTTTCATGATGTAGACAACGTCGCGGGGCTAACTTCTTCGATTGTAGTGGAATATCTGGCAAAAATCTGCAAAAAGTGCGTTTTTTTTTTGCCTTTGACTTTGGAAAAAACAAAATTTTACCTTTTCGTAGTTCGTTTATTTCCTTCTTGATAATCACCACTACAGAGATATGTTTGTTTTCAAAACAAAGAAAGGAAGTAGCTTTCCCTCATTTCCACCGTCTTTTGAATTGCTTGGTACTGGGGCGAAAACCTGCATTTTGAAATGCCAACATTGCAGCGTTTTAATCCAATTTTTAGAGCTTTCTTATGCTTTTCCGTTTGTTTTGCATCTTTTTTCTCCTCTGTTTTTAACAACCTTTTGTGGGTTGCACTTATTCAAATAACCTTTACTTTTGAGGCCCTGTCGCTGACTATCAAAGTATGCTCTTCATCCTTTTCTGGAAGTACATGTTTTCAATTTTGATTGCGGAATCAATCAAATGTTATGAGCATTGTGGTAGAAAAGTACGCTAAAGGACTACGTTAATCACGCCGCCTGCCATTTTTTCGGTGAATTCGCATGAAAAACCTTTTAACCAACTGTCTATGAACTCCAACATGTAAAATTGAAGATTTGGCAAGATAGTTAAAGGTGTCCTCACAGGAGTGATCAAAGCTGCCATTGCCTACGTGTGCGGAACACTATAATTGCTAAAAGAAGAGTGTACGTCACTACCAGCAGGCCTTGACTACTCACTGTGCGACTACGGTTATCATGACCAGTGCGTCACCTCTGCTTCGCAGAGGGTACTGTATCTATTGTCCTATCCTTCCTCATTCTCTCGTCAAGATCTCTTTGAAATTTACCGCAAATTGCTGACTATCACGAACGAGTTGTAAACAAATACTCATTCTTTCACTTTTTCCATGTGATTTTGGTAACTTTGGAAGAAGCAACTTTTTTTGCACGAGAAGAAATGAAGTCAGCTATCAAATCTCTTTTCGCTTGATAGTCGCCATAAGGAAGGTAATCCCCGTGGGCTACATCTCTAAGCAGTAATTTCCTCAGTTATTTGACTAAAACCTTGACAAACTGACAATTTACGCGATCATTCTTTTTTGACGCCGTTTTCGCTTTTCAAACGAATTCGTCACCTTCGGAAATTGGATAACGCATCAGTTCTGCTGGCCAGAAACCTCGTGAACCCGTTTGACACCTAATTTTTGAAGAATGTGAGTATTGGATCGACATACAATACAACACTCGTTTTCAAGCACTGTGAACCTCCATGTTGGTTGTACCGTATGTTTGAATCATGGCTCGAGACGTTGACTGCAACTAGTTTCATGAATTGTGACAGACAGGCATACACACAGACAAACAAACAGACATGCTCAGTGCTTTATTCTAAGGCCCGTATGCACGTACATCCCCGCGGGGAGGGGATGTGCGCTTAACCATTGGAATGATCCCCGCTGGGGATCCCTTCCCCTCCCCGGGCGAACCCCCGTATGCACGCAAACAATATCGGCGAAGGGATCCCCTGTGGGGAGGGGAAGCGAACCCCCTTATGCACAAGAGGGGATCAAACGGGGAAATAGCTTTGCTTCCGAATTTCTACGAAAAACTTTCCCCAATTCCTATCTTTCGACTGCCACTCACGTTCATCTACTCAGCGGCAGGAATTTAGGCGTGGCGGAGCGCGTGTCTGCCGTGACTGCGCTTGTCGCACCCAAAATAATATTTTCTACGCCTAATATGAAGTATTCCTGCTACAATCACGGATGCTGCTCATATTCGCCCTGTTGCTCATATTAGCATGGAGGTGGAGGTGAGTTGTTTTATCTTATTATGTTTTGTTTTCTGTTTCATTAGCTTTTACGTATATGGCCTTGCGGACTCTCCTTCATTTTCTTCCTTCTTTTTTGTTCACAGATAGTTTAGGCGTTGCAGTGCGCATGTCTGCCGTGACTGCGCTGAGCGCACCCAAAATAATATTTTTTACGCCTAATATGGCCTATTGCGGCTATCATCATGGATGCTGTTCATATTCGCACATGATGTTCACTTTAGCGTGGAGGTGAGTTATTTTACCCTCTTATGTCCCGTTTTTTGTTTCATTAGCTTGTGTATGTCGGGCCATGTGAAATTTTCTTTGCTTTCTTTCTTCTTTTTTGTTCCCAGACTCTGCAGGTGCTTTTTTGAGTAAAATGAGATTTTACGATTATTGATTTTTCTGATTGTTTCCCGCCTTGCTTCTGTGTAGTGTCACATTCTCATGGAAATGTGTCCTACACAGTTTGTGGGGGAGGATCTTTCGTTCTGAATGAATCTTTTACGTATCTTTACGATATTTGTGTACATTTTGCGTATAGGGTTACTTTTTACTCGCTGAAATAGGCTAGAGATCGAACAGCATTCAGCTTTGTTGTTGTCTATGGTTTTCATTTATTCCTGAACTTACCTAATGCTATCTGGACGCGTAGATCATAGGTGATTCAGCTTACACCGCAGAATCATTTTTAATCAAAGTTCTGAGCCAGGCCAACTCAGTGAGAGGTAGTTTTTTACTTTTTAAACGAAATTTCACTGTTGTTGTCCTTTTTTTTTTCAGAACAACGGTACAATCGTGCAATCTGCTCAGCGCGTGTGAAAATTGAGCAGGCTTTTGGGATGCTAAAGCGCCAATGGCACATACTACATTCAGAATGCAGGTAAAACGACTACATCACACATCTTTATTTTGCAAACTTCAAACTGCAAAGGAAAACGCAAAAAAAAACATTGATCAAATCACTTCTTCATTCACTGGCATAGAAATTCAAATAGTTTGAGACAATATCAGTAACGAGATGATTGTAAAATTGAAATCATCGTTCAGGTACGACCCGGATACCGCAGCCAGAATTACAATAACGTGCGTGGTGCTGCGTAATCTTGCGAATCAAAGGCATGAACCGCTCTTCGAGGACGACGAGGACCTGGAAGTGGTTGAAAGTGACATGGGGGAAGAAAATCAAGAAGTCCACACTACTTCCGGCCGTGCTCTCATAAGGAGGATAATCGAAGAATTTTTTTAACCTACCTACTCATCGTTCCTTGCCAGGTCAATTTGTAATCGCGTGTAGTCAATTTTTGCCTTCACCTCTTCACATTGTAGGCATAGCAGGACATTTTTCTGCCTCTTGTTTTCCATTGATTGCTGTAGTACTTCGCTGCGTAGAATCTCGTTTTGAATTTGTTTTTGAATTCGCTCTGCCTCAAGTTGCAAAACTTGTTCTTTTTCGTCTCTGAAAATAATTTGTTTTGAAAAATTGCTTAGATGTGTGTTATAAAAGTTAATACTCACGTCAAGGCCTGGGTGGAGCGTCTTCTTTTGCGTGGAGGGCTGTTCAGCGGCTTTCCAGCCAATCCCGAGGACAGCGGAGTAACCGCAGGGGTGTCGTCCGTAGCGGAAGGAAATACGTCCACCTCAAAAATATTAGTTAGGAACATGTTCTCACCCAACATCAAAATACCTCTTCGGCGATTGGGGTTACACACTCCTCGTAAATGACATCCACATCCATGGTGTTCGTGTTTGAAAGATTCTCTGTGGTTGGAACATTTTCTATGTTTGAAGTATTCTGCGTGTTCGAAACATTTTGTGTGTTTGAAGCACTCTGTATGCTTGGGACATTCTGTAAGGGAAAATATAGGATAGACGTTGCGTTGCGCTAGTCTACAACTCACTGTAGCGTTTGCATTGATTTCCAAAGGTTTCTTTAGACCCGAAAGGCGCGGTCTGTTGTCGCAGCCTTCAATCACTATTTTCACATGAGGAGCAGCTGCAATGGCGGTCGGAGGACCACCGCCTGTCTTTGTCTCTTCATTTCGCTGCAAAGAACGCTGATACGTGCTGTTTCTCAGAAAAGGTGACGGACCTCTAACGCGCTTATCTTTTTCGCCGTCTTTAGTGTGTCTTTTATCCTTTGATTAATCTGCTCAGGAGTGCGCTTTGAAAAGCCGTTACGGACTAGGTCTTCACAGATATCTTCGAGCAGCTTCTGTTTACGCTGAAGTGGAATGTTCAGATCAACAATAGAAGTCAAGGTGTCCCTACAGGAGAATGGGTAGAAGGCGCTATGTTGCCCAATAAAAAGGAAGAGGGGGTGCGCAAGTGCTTAGGCTAGCATTTCTACACCTACCAGAAGCTGCAATCGTGTCAGCTCTCCGTAATTGACTGTAGCTGTTTGCGACATACCGTCCGTTCCCCCGGGGAATGATCCCCCGCGGCCATCCCCGCTATGCACGAGGGGAACGCTGGGGAGGGGATCACTCCCCTGGGGATCTCTATACAGAAACTGTCAAATCTGCTAATTTTAAGTTTGTTTTAAAGGAGCTCATGTTGAGATAACAAGATAAAGACTACATATCAAATAATATGACAGTCTCAATGCGTTCAATTGGCTTATAGGAATAAAAAACTATCAAGTTGTACGAAAAATGCGCAAATCTCATGAATGTTCAGGAACACCTATAGATAGACGAAATTGGCACATATACGCAAGGATTTATCTGCGAGAAGCGAATTTACAAGAAAGAGACAAAACCGCAAGCTACAGGTTGCTGAGAAAGGAACCCGGTTTTTGGCGAATATCTTTTAGCAATTTGAACGAAATGTTTTGTAGTAACTGATTCAAACCAGAAGATTCGCTTCTCTGGCATGACCTACACCACCCAACCCCTACTCCGTTGCAGGGGATGTCGATCCCCTCCCCCGCGTTGTTGAGCTACATTCGTGCATACGGGGAGGGGAGGGGAAGGGATCCCCTGGGGTTCGTTCGATCGATATGGGAATAAATGCATAATCATACTTGCGCGAATGATAGTCCGTCTTTCGAGGATGATGTAGAGATTCCGTGATATACTTCATAATTCTGAACGTACCATTGCGAAACAATACACATTTCCGGGGACGTCATGGCGGTTATTCGTACCTGAATGAAGATCTATTGGAAACATATAAAAATTCGCAAATACCGCTTACCTTCTTTTCATCCATTGTGTCGGAACAGTGCAACAAAGGCAGGCAAATTTCAGCAACCGAAACTCTGAAACCAGATGTTGAATTTGAGTCTTCGAAAGAGTAATGCAAATAATGAACGGCAAGTTGAAAAAATCACGGGATCTACAAAATGCTGCACTTTCACGAGTTCTTTTGTGGGAGGAATACATCGTCATAACATATCTGCGAGACGACCATAACACGAATTGCTAAATAGAGTCTTACTATTTCAACAATCAACATTATCAGTGACAGCAAGAGTATAACGAAGGCGCAAAATTAGTAATAGGGAAAAGGAAGAAGATAGCGAAGGAGAGAGAGATACAATGGGAGGGGGATAGAAGAAGAGTGAGAAAAGGAAGTAAGACACATAAAATCACTATTCATGTATATTACATTCCAAAAAGCATTCTGGCATACGAGAATTAATTGAAAACAGCTTATTTGGCGAGATTTTCTGGTAGTTGTGAGGAGATGCGATTACTGCAATCACACCATCCCCGCTGTAAGTGCAGGGGAGAGGATCGCTCCCCTCCCCTCCTGCATAGCGGGGTTCGGCGGAGGGGATCGTTCCCCTGGGGATCCAGCTCCCCTCCCCTCCCCAGCGGGGATGTACGTGCATACGGGCCTAAGTCACTAGTGCTTTCGTCTCCGCTTCGCAAAGGTTCGCACTGGCTTTGCTATTCTTACTTTCTCGCGCTCGCATAATGATGACTCTGAAATTCACTGCACGATGCTGAGCATCATAAAAAACTGTAAGCAAGTGTTCTTTCCTGATGCATCTCCATGTAGGAAGACTGGTAACTCGAAAATAAAACTTTTTGCAAAGAAACAAATGCGAAAATGAATGGACTACCGAGTTTATTTTGACCTGGTATCGTCATAAGGATTATAAATAGTCGTTTTGGGCTATACTTCCGTCCAAAAGTCTTCTCAGTGTTTCAGGTAAAACCTCGCCAAATCGACTGTCTAAGCGATCACCACTTTTTGGCGCTATTTTCATTTTTCATACAAGAGCAAAGTTTTCAACACTTTTTGAATTAGAATTCATGGGCCGCAGATTTACTTGTCAGGCAAGTCATGACTTTGCAAAAAGTTGAATTAGCAACCTGTGTATGTTATGTGAAATTGTAGCTCGACAGTTTTGCTGCAGCTTTTTATGATTACGGACAGACGTACACATACACGCACAAAAAGACGGACGCTTAGCGCTTTATTATAAAGCAGTGCGTCCCTCTGCTTCGCAGGGGCTCGCACTGGTTCTACTATCTACCTACATGCCTTACTCATCCCCGAATAAGGATGGCAATGAAACACCTCGCAATGCTGACTATCACAAATGAATTGTAAAAACTATTATTTCAAGAGCTTTTTTGTGTGAAATCGGTAGTTTCGCGGGATGAAACTTTTCGCAAAGGAACAAATGCAATTTAACCTTTAATTCCACTGGCTTGGCTCCGGGAAAATGGGGTTTTGTGAATTAATCGAGTCCGCTGACGACCGCGACGCACCTGCATCTCTCGCGCGAGTGCTCTCTGATCATTACTTAGCCTTAATTAGGTCACGAAGCCCCGCATTTGCCGAAGCCAAGCCAGTTGAATCAAATGGTAATCGGTTCTCAAGCTTCTTGTGGTTTGGTAGTCGCCATAAGCACAATTATCACCGTGAGCTACATCTCTGTGCAAAAATATTTTCAAAAGCTCAGGTAGAATTTTGGCAGAATGACCATTTAAACAATCAATTCTTTTTGGCGCCGTTTTCGTAGAGCAATGAAATTTTGATTACACTTTTTTAGGTCAAAATTCATGGCCTGCAAATTAGTTTATCGAACATATTCATGACTTTGCAAAAGTGACATTTTACTGGCTGGAGGCCATGTGGATCCATTTGACGCGCACTTTTTGCAGGATCCATCCGATATATCTCCTCCTGCTTTTGCATGGTGGAGTTGTATGCCGGCAGCATGCGCTGTGCAAGGTATGGGCTCAGGACGTTGACTGGAACTCGCTCTATGAACTTCGTAATGGCACACACACACCACACACACACCACACACACACACCACACACACACACCACACCACACACACACACACACCACACACACACCACACACACACCACACACACACACCACACACACACCACACACACACCACACACACACCACACACACACCACACACAAACACACCACACACACCACACCACACACACACCACACACACACACCACACACACACACCACACACACACCACACACATACACCACACACACACCACACACATACACCACACACACATACACCCACACACACACCACACACACACCACACACACACCACACACACACCACACACATACACCACACACACATACACCCACACACACACCACACACACACCACACACATACACCACACACACATACACCCACACACACACCACACACACACCACAGACACACTACACACATACACCACACACACACCACACACACACCACACACACACACCACACACACACCACACACACATACACCCACACACGCACCACACACACACCACACACACACACCCCACACACACCACGCACACACCACACACACACACACCACACACACACACCACACACACACCACACACATACACCACACACACACATACACCCACACACACACCACACACACACCACACACACACTACACACACACAACACACACACACCACACACACACACCACACACACACACCACACACACACCACACACACATACACCCACACACGCACCACACACACACCACACACACACACACACACCTCACACACACCACACACACACCACACACACACACCACACACACACACCACACACACACCACACACACACACCACACACACACACCACACACACACCACACACACACACCACACACACACCACACACACACCACACACACCACACACACACACACACACACAAAGACGTAAACATTCTTGGCCCGTTATCATAAGTTATAACCATGTTTATATTTTAACTTGAAACAAAGTGGGTTTTCGTGTCGTAGTTCAACGTGTGATCCTAACTGAATAGACAATTTTGTTTTGAGTAGCGTCCAGGCTAAATCTAGCTCTCTCAATTAGTCTGCCTCGCATGTACATGGTAGTGAGCAGAAGCTGCACTGCGCACGCTGCTTTGCAACTGCACCCATGCACAGCCTGGCACAGATCGTCTGGAGGCATGCTGGACTTCGTTTTTGGAGCAGAAAGCAAAGGAGATATCGTTTATGACGAGTCGAGGCCGAGCACCAAGAATAAGCGCCATTTAGTCAAACACAAGCCTTTCGGACTGGTTACCACACGACTGACATGCTCCATCGCGTATGGCAAAAAGTGCGCGCCATCTGAAAGCAAGGCTAAAACAAACGACTTGCTTGCTCACAGCGCACACAGAAGCTTATGACACCAAAATTTGACTGTATACATAGGAAATTACTTGCAAAAAAATTATGCAAAAAAATTCAAAAACTTATGCGAAGTATCACCTTTTCCAAAATTAGTCCATCTCCAGACATTTTCCTATTATTGCTTTCCTTTGTTCTTTGCCTTATTTTCTTAGTAAATCGCTTTGCGAAATTCGCACTCCACAGCTCCAGTTTGGATTTTCACTCTTCTCTCACGTTTTTTCTTTCAGAAGTAAATTTTTCTTGTTTTCATTTCTCCTAAGTAGGTAGATCAAAGAGGACTTCGTAAAACTTTCGAAATTCAAACGGGACTTCGTTTTCAAAAACTCTAGAAACCGACTCGTGCCGAGCACTGCCCATGCATTTGCAGCTACAATATTTCGCGAAATATTGTAGTTTCCAACCTGGAAAATCGCAGCCGTTTTAATTTTAGTGGAAAATTCTTGTCGGACGTACACTTCCCAAAAGATTTGCTTTGAGAGACATTTTTTTACGGATTGCACGACAACGAAAATTATTCTCTTGCACCTTGCAAAGATTTTCGCCACTTGTCCCTCTTCTTCTTACAACTTATCTGCATACCCTCGATACATAGAGCCACGTATTCTGGTAATCTTCACTTTGAGGGCTATGAGGGGACACAACCTTCACTTGGAAAAAAACAGAAGTCATCCGGGGCGAAACCCCGGATGTTACCATCTTGACTATTTCGGAACGAATGCTAATGAAGCAAATATCATAACTTATAATAACGGGCTAAGGGATGTTTACGTTTGTCTGTCTGTCTGTCTGAATCTCTGTCTGTCACGAAATTCGTGGAGCGAGTTCCAACGAAGGTTTTGAGCTGATTTTTTGCACAGCGCCTGCTACCAACATGAGAGTCTACTATACAAAAGCACGAGCGGATCCATTGTGTGGATCCCTCAGAAAATGCCCGTCAACCGGATCCACTTGGCTTTTGGCCAGTAAAATTGAGTCTGTTGCGCAACTTTTTGCAAATTTAAGGATATTTTTGACATGTTAATGTACAAGTCATGGTCTTTAGCCTAAAAAATTGAACTAAAGTTTATTACTTTGCGAAAACGGCGCCAAAAAGAATTGGTTGCGTAAATGTTCAATTTGCCAAGATTTTACCCGATGGTTTGAGAAGATTTTTGCACAGATATGTAGGCCACGGTGATTATGGCATCTTAACGCGAATATCAAGCCATGAAAAGTCCAAAAACCGACTCAAATCTGCATTTGTTCTTTCGAGAAAAGTTTCGTTCATGCGAAATTACCGATCTCATATGGAAAAGCTTTTGGAATGAATAGTTGTTTACAAATCATTCGTGATAGTCTGCATACGGCGGTGAGTTCCAATATCATTATTGTGCGAGAATGAGTAAGGCATACAGATAGTAGGGCCAGTGCGAGCCTCTGCGAAGCAGAGGTGAAGCACTGGTAGGAAATAATATCGTTAGTTTATCCCAGTGAAACCGAGAATTTACGTTTTATAGCTATTTTTACGTTGAAAGGAAGGTTTCTGTGAAATTTTCGCCAGAATTCAAGAGGAAATTTCTCTGTTAACCTCTCATTTGACCAAAATTGAGTATCAGAAGTTTATGTAAGCTGTTGGAGTTATATTAGAAGAGAAACTGCGCTTAAATCTTTCGCAGAGGGTCGCGTATGAGAACGCTGGTCTATCTCGCTAACGAGTGACTTTCAAAGCTTGGGACGTTGTCAGTTCTCCTTGCCGTGTCATGACGATCAGAATGATATATAATGTTGTAGGGTTTCGTTGAGACCCCGCAGGGATCTACGACCAGAGCCAAATGCCCCGTCGGCTCTGGTCTGTCTCCGCTGCTCATCTGCGTCTCCGCGCGCTGCGCGCTACCTCGCTACCCCAAACGCGGGGCGCGGGGCATTTGGCTCTGGTACCCTTTTCTTCGTTGTTTCGAACCCAATTTTAACAAGCTATATATCATTTTGAAGCTCTTGATCTCTATTTTCACGCTGACAACGTTCCAGAACCACATTTTTTGATCTGATCGAGAAATCTGGCAAAAACCTTGTTTTCGAAAATCTCTTGTTTTTCTCCTAGTTTAATTCTTTTCACGCGGTTTTTTCGTGCATTCTATAGATCTTACTTCTGCTCATAATGCAGACAACCACCCAGCCCTTACTTCTTCGATTATGGTAGAATTTTTTGCGAAAACTCGTAAAAAAGTGCGTTTTTCTTTACCTAGTTCTGTTTCAGTGCTTTCGCAGCGATTTTTTTCCAGCTTGGGCGATTGTTGCTCAGAACAGTAAGCGCAACAATTCAGACAACGTCCCAGGAAACAGGAACGTCAATGCGGGGGTAAAAATTCGAAGGACGCATCAAAAATCAAAACCCCGTGTTGCAAATTGCTGGTCCTAGAACGAAAACTTGCACCTTGAAAAGCTGCCAACTGAAAGATTTCAAACCCTTTTGCAGCGTTTTTATCCGATTTTCAGCCGTTTCTTCTGCTTTTTATATGCTTTTTACGTCATTTTCTCATCTCTGATCTTCTTTGGACAACCTTCACTATTTATGACGTCAGATGTTCAAACAACCTTCACTTTTGACGCCCTGTCTCTGGACTATCGAATGTATGCTTATCTGGCTTTTTCGCTCTCTCCTACATATAGATAATCGCACTCGAGGAAAACATTGCGAATCATTAAAGTAGGGCGGTACTATGCACTTTTGCACTTTATACTGTTACATGAATCCTGGGCTGCATATCCTTTGGTTTGCCTCGTTAAGCCGATTCCAAATCTAACTTCCATATCTGCTGCGCGGTTTTCTGGAAGGCACAAAGTGCTTCAGAAAACATCTTGGAAGTGCTAATTAAAGCATGTTGTTGTACTGACTAAAAATGTACACACATACGCAACCAACATAGATGAATGTTTTTGAACGACTTATACTCGCCGTCAATCCCTAAGTTACATTTGCAATGTGGAGTGGTGTAATGCGGCCGCATCGCTTTGGGCTTGCGCCACGTTGCGAGCGTATCGCTTAAACGTATGTGGCCGAAAGCGATGCGGCCGCACCACACCACTCCACATTGCAAATGTAACTTAGGGATTGACGGCGAGGGTACTTCTTGATGTGACAAAGTGGCCTTGCCAAACTTGGACTCTCAAATGCCCAACATTTCCTTGAAAGAACCGTGCAGCAGATACGGAGTTACATTTGGAATCAATTCGACAAGGCGCATCTAATGATATGCATTTCGTTCCAAGATCGCCTCTGCGATTTGGATCCTTCCCTAGTTAGCAGGGATATTTCAGCTTCCGCAAAGTGTATTGCATTTTTTGAAGATAAGGAAATGCCTGAAAGGAAAAATAAAAACTCATTTGCTGGCTTCTCCGCTTACCTGGGCTTGCCTGCTATGTTATATTCAAATATCCATTTTGGGAAGCTCGAAAACGGCGAGAGCAAACTACTTTCAAAGCCTTAGATATGGGTAAATCATCAGGCAAAAATGCAAAGTCGCTGTGGCTGCGGGCCCCTACTCCTCTAGCAAGGGAAGAATACTTGGTGATACTTGGTCGAAGTGGCGTTTCCATATGAAATGTTTACTGTCTTATAGAGCATGGAACGCTAATTCGAAATCTGCTTTCGATATCAGCACAGTGCTTCTGGGAGAAGAGTCTTGGGTTTTTTCAAGCAAAAATCTGAACGCGCGGCTACATAAAATCATTCAAAACTGTAGTCTGCGAGCTCAAATGAGGATGATTACTGCCAAGGGGCGTTATGCAGTTAATACTTCAGCTCAAAAAACTCATGCTAGTTATTACCCCTTTCAAGCTCCGGAAAAACTCCAATACCTGCTTTTACTTTAGCCAAATCCTTAAATTCTGAATCAAAAAATTCCCCATAACTTCCCTCCCGGAGCCGCTTTGCACATAGCGAACACAGATTTGAAATCAGCATTTCGTGCTCTATAAGGCAGTAAACATTTTATATTCAAACGTTTCTTCGACTAAGTATCCCCCCTTGTAACTGTGACGAGAAGTCCACTCTACCGCGGAGCAGCTCACAAGCGGGCGAAGATCTCTCCTTAAAAGCAGCGGTTCGGCAGATTGACAAGTTTGGGATATTCATCGTTCTCCGTTCCCAAAGAACAGCTAACAATAAGTCCGAGGCATGCTTTGCAGCTTCAAAAGACATCAATAACGCGCTTAGAGGGAGGCGTACGCGCTCCGCCCAAATAGCACTTCTCACGTCTGAAAACGAGTTATTGATTTTGAAGCTGCAAAGCACAGTGTTTGTTGCGGCTCGGTGGGCCCAGCACTCCTAGCCGTGTGCTCGACTGCCCTACAGCACAGTCCTACACCCTAGGATGTTGCGCGTCCGACACCGACGTGCACTCCAGTGCGTCCACTCGACGCGGTCACCAAAATAATACACCCGCACTGAACACGACTAGATTAAGTGAGTTTATATACCAAACAACAATGAAGTAGACAAATAACGAAGAAATACTACTAAACTACAGGCTCCTAATCTACGGAAATAAATGAAAACAAATTAGGGGACGAGCCGCGCGTCCCAGAATACCGATGCATGAGAGAATTCACTCCGACTGTGAAGTTCTGGGTTCCTCCTCAGAGCCGACCGCAAGGAGGCCCAGTCCAGTGGAACGGCGCACTCACCAGCTCCACTCCCGCATGATGTTCATTTACAACTTTCGAACTTCCCTGCGCCTACGCGCGTCTGACACACAAGATCCGAAAGAAGTCTCGACCGCTCAACCAAAGGTCCTCGAATGCGGGAGCTGCTTGAAACGTAGCCGAGTATGATAAGATAATCGATAATCGCACGAAAGTGAGGCGGCGGCTGCTCTCTCGGCAGCCTTCTATACCCCGCCGCTTGGCTACATTTCAAGCCGGAGGTGGTCCTGCAGCAGGCTACAAAAGGCGCGACAGGCAAATGCGGCAAACAGCGCCCCCGACCTCCTGTTCCGAGGAGCGCTCTGCATGCGGAGCCGCGACAGTCTTGGACTTAGCTCATATTCATCATCCTCGGGAACCGAGGATGATGAATATCCCAAAGTTGCCATTCCGCCGAGCCGCTGCCTCTAAGGCTTAAGTCTCCCAAAATCCTGAGCTGTTTTTCCTTTTCGGTCTAATGTTATGACTTTCCACTTGAGCGCATGGCACTACAATCTCACGCCCTCAAACTTGCCTGCACGCAGCCTTTGAGTTCTCAATCAAAACCGTCTCATTGAAAGCCAGTGAGTAAAATGATGTATGTGATATCGTAATCATCAAGGACCTGTGTGATATATAAGAAGCTTGAGAGCTGACAGTGCGTAATTTCAACATTCATTGCACTTGAATGGCCACGATTGCGGCCTTGTTCCTCGTGTTACTTCACCTTAGCATTGCAAGAGGTAAAGCAAAATGTTTCGAAATATACATGTGTAGGCTCATTCTTTTCAGGTTTCAGCAAAGTTTACTCACAATGGAAATGCGCGGAGTTGCATACATTGCCGCAATATGTTACGGCTTCATATTACTTTATACTCAGAGAATCTTGTGAACTACATATCTCAACTCGTCCTATAACAGAGCAGCTATATCACGATGTGAGGACTCTCTTTTTGAAAGAAGACCTCTATACGAGTGTGTTACTTCTGCGAAGCAGAGGTTCGCACTGGTTCTACCATCCATTCTCTTTCTCGTGCTTAAACAAGTTTGAAATCCGCCGCGCACTACTGGGCATCACGAATGAAATGTAACAGTTCCTCGAAAGCTTCTTTGGAAAAGAACGCGAACGTTGTGGGCTGCAACTCTGATCGAAAACATCCCAGTTTCTAAAATCAAGCCGTGGCAGATCGACCACCAGGCAATCATTTCTTTTTTCCCCTTTCTCGCGAAAATATAAAGTTTTGATTGCTTGGACTGAAGTCAATGGCTTGAATTTTTGCTAAACAAATGCACGACTTTGCATTTCTTTTCTGGAATAGGAAAGGAGTCGAATCGAGCTAGGGCAAGTCAATAAGTGGATTCATGCCTGTGAAAGGCAGGCACTTCCTGCTAAGTCTGTTCTTGTCGAAAGAATCTTCTCACTAAAAAAAATAAACTCTGCACATTGGCTTTTACCTAGATCGCCTGGAATTAACAAGACGGATGTCAGGTTTTCTCAGGATGCCATAAAAAAGAACAAACAACACATCTAAAACGACGCCAAGGAGACTGGCTCACGCTCTGCACTACAACGCCAAGACGGTCTTCACAATCGCCAACATTACGCTCTTCTTGACACTACAGAGCACATCAAGATCAAGTCATAGCTCGGCAGGAAACAAAGGCTAGGAAAATACTGTACGACAGTTGAGTGAAGGACCCTCGTCATTCGTGGCGAGCAAGTTCTATCACGAAACGTTGGAGGCGCTGGCAATGTCTACTCATCTAGCATTCATGTCGGTTGCATGAGATGCTTTACTTCGACTGGCTCCTACTCTTCTACACCACATCAAACATAATCATCTTCAACTGCTACTTTCCAGCATCGGCAGCCAATTAATTAGAGCTAGATGCTTTTCACGAGAAAGCGCAGTCGTCTCGTTGAGTTTTCTCGCATAAATTTTCATGGAAATTTAATTTTCATAAAGAAAGAACAACCTCTCTCGCTAGCCGAAGTCAAGCCTGATTGATGTCTTAGTAATTCCATCCATCCGCAAAGGGTCCGACCACCGCTTATTTCGTAAGAAGGTAGATCCAGTCGAAAGCTGGAAAAAAAGATCTGTCACAGTGCCGCAAGAAAGAAGTAGTTGGTGGCAGGTGTAACAGGCTGGAAGAGCTCTCAATTGTGACCCAACATGCGACTATGACCGGCTTCTACAAGCATTGCGAGCCTGTGAAGAGTGCGCCTCAGTGGATTCCGAAAAGAACTTGAAACGTATTTCAAAGTCCATTAAGCCAATGCCAGTTGCAAAACAGCTTTGCAGGAAGAACTTTAAAATTATGGCAGGTGAAGGAAGACGAAATCCTATGAAGTGCCGAAGGGACCTCTATGGTATTACTGTCTTGTTGAACCATGACGGGACTCCAAATTTTTCCCGACTCAAGATGGAATCTATCGCGAAGATCTCCTTCACCAACTTCTTCAGCCCATCAGTGCTTGACGACGCCGGTTGTTCCCATTTGAAAAAAACTACCACGGATTTTACCTGCTAAAGTGCGCACCTACTGATCGAAAATGCTCTCCTTTTGAAGGTACGGTGTTAGATGCGATGTGAGAATCTCGTTCAGACGCTGCCCTTCAACTCGCAGAAGTTTGACGAAAAATGATTTAGCTTGGAGCCTTGGTGCTTTCCATGGTCTATCATTTCAAAAACTGACTTGCCCTCAAAAACGGCGACCGGGATCCATATGCCTGCTGGGTGTACCGTGCGTTTATACGAATATTATCCCACTTGCGATCAAGGAGACTGCTTGAAGCACGCCCCAAAAACAAGATGGATTTTGCAATTAGCTGTACGGAACACATCTAGATGGTTCCGAGGATCATAGCCTGCCTCTCGTCCTGACCTCCTGATTACGAGGAAGCCTTTGACGCATTGTAAGTAAGGCAATCCTGTCAGTGCTATCCGAGGTGCGGATCCGGTTGTATGAGAACATTAACCGGTTATGAGGAATAGACACGATGCATTTAGTCCATCACCCCTGACCATCCCAATTGGAAGGAAGGTCCGACAGGGCGACACAATCTTGCCGAAGCCGTTTACGCGGCCTTCCAATTGGGATGCTCAGGGGTGATGGACTAGATGCATCGTTTCACTGCGACGTCAGAATTTTGCAGAACCGTGGCTACACTTGTAGCTTACGTCATGACCTACTTGAAAATTGATTGGTAAAATTTGAGTGCGTCCTTTGCAAAGTGAGAGAAGTTATAAAAGTAGTTGCAAAACTTAGCGAACAGCCTACTGCTTCGCATATGACAGTTTGATCGAGTTTCAACGATATCGCGTCGCCAATTTGCAGCAACGGATGATATCGCTGCTGTTACACTGGCAGAAATTTGGAAGTTTGGAAACCTTACGTTTGTGCAGCTTCCAAAAAAATACATGCTTTAAGTGATTGTCATGCAGTGAAGTAATTTTTTGAGCCGGTTAATTGCAAATCTTTTGCGTCACTCTAATTTGTAACATTAGCTGAACCCGGTCATTGTTATAAAAAAGCGCTGGAATATGCTATCCTGAAAGTCTTGCCATGCGTTACCACTTTGACACACATGTCAAGTAAATGTACTTTTTTTGCGAAATCAAAGCAACTCATTCACTTTTCAAGTATACTCGAAATTATGAAGTGTGTGCATTACCACATTGATGATCGTTACCTGTTGAAGTTCAAATCTTGCTATGCAAGGGAAGAACCTTTAGAAATTCGTTTAATTTGCAAAGAACTCTCAATATTGGCCCATAGTAAAGCTCGGTCGGGAAAGATGATCTCCCCTGAGGTTCTTATGTGAGGTCCCGTCAGGTAAAATGACGACCGCCCACTTCTCCATGCTATAAGAATGCAACGTCACCTGACATGTGAGCCTCAGGTCCCGAGTGAGGAGTCACAGTGCGCTGACGATCATCGACAAGATCTAACAAGTGCGGCCACATCTCCGCCGCCACTACCAATCACAAAGATGTGAACATACCTTCGATAGTCAAGAGACAAGGGCTAGAAAGTGATAGTTGTTTGAGTTCTTGCCCCCTATTAAAAGTGAAGGTTGTTTCAGAAAAATAGACGAAAATTTAGAGATACAAATTAAATTAGAAAACTTGGAAAATTCATATAAAGCAGAAGTTAGCACATCACCAAATCTGAAACCTTAACTTGGTGGTTTCCTACGCAGAGTTTCGTCTCCAGGATTGCCGGTTAAATTGGGCGGCAACAACAACAAAGTTCTTTTCCAGTCAAAAAAGCGCTGTTTAGCTGTGGCGTTAGTTGGGAGACCGAAGGAAGAAGAACTTGTCAACAACTGAATTGAACATGTTAAACATGTCTGTAAAGTTGTGTTGCACATCGACGCCAATCTGATTTCTGATGCGTCCTTCAAATTTTCACCCCCGCATAGATGTTTCGTACGCTGCGACGTTGTCTGGATTCTTCCGCTCATCATTCTGAGCAAGTATCGTCCAAGCTGGAAAAAATTCGCCGCAAAAGCACAGAAAGACAACAAGGTAAAGAAAAACGCACTTTTTTGTATTTTTCACAAAAAAAAACCGGCATAAGCAAAGCAGTAAGCTCGGCGACGTTGTCTAAATCATAGACAAAGACAAGACCTATCGAATGCACAAAAAAAAACCGAGTGAAAAAAGTTAAACTAAAGAAAAAACAGGAGGTTTTTAAAAAACGCCATTTTTCGAGGATTTCTCGTTTAAATCTCAAAAAGAAGTTCCGCGACGTTGTCAGCGTGAAAATAGAGATCAAGAGCTTTATTATAATATATAGATTATCGAAATTGGGCTCCGAACAACGAAGAAAAGGGTACCAGAGCCAAATGCCCCGCGCCCCGCATTTGAGGTAGCGAGGTAGCGCGCAGCGCGCGGAGACGCAGACGAGCAGCGGAGACAGACCAGAGCCGACGGGGCATTTGGCTCTGGTCGTGGATCTTCGCAGGATCTCAACGAAATCCTGCAGATTATATTAGGCTGGAAACTAAGTTTTGCAACTGGTTTTATAACTTCACTCTCTTTGGATATGGCGCACTCAAACTTTGGCATTATGTAGAAGGCAATGTGAGCTACAAGTGAGCACAAATTGTTTAAATTTTGAACACGAAATAGAAAAGTTTTAGGCGTTTTTCGAAAACCAGTGAAATTTGAGAATTTTTGAGATTTCAAGCTAAAATGAAGCCTTTGGCAGCCTAGACCATGCGCAGTAATCCGGATTTGTCTACAAATTATTGCTGGAGGTTGACTCCTTTGGCTTATCAAGAAAGAACCAAAATATAGGGGCATGTCGAGATTTGGCGTCCTCACAAAGTCGAACGAGTCGATGTACGCAAGAGCCGCTGGAGACCGTCAATGACTAAAGAGTCCGAAGCTCAAATTCCGCCGAGACTTTAAATAGTAAGGTTAATTGACCTGCCAAACGCGAATATCACATTCATTTGTTGAGTCAACGCCTTTTTCCTTGTTTAGGGTGAGACCCCATATCGTACACTTACAGTAATCCTACAAAAAAGCCTTATCACGCTATTTCATTATCGTTTTCGTGATCAGCATGTCGGATAACACCCCTATGCGAAGTTTCAGCCAAATCCGTCAAACTTTGAATTTTTCCCCTTCATACCATGCACCTACCGTAACCCTCACTGCGACGTCAAAATTTGGTAAGACAGCAGCTGCGCTTGTAGCTTACGTAATAACCAACGCAATGGCAAAATTTGAGTGCGCCATGTTGAATGAGATGGAAGTTATGAGACCAGTTGCAAAACTTAGTTTCCAACCTAATATATCGTTGTGACCCTCATAAGACGGCCAGGAGCACTGACAACGTCGCGGGTCTTGAAAATCACTCCATAACGAGATAGACCAGCATTCATATGGCGACTCTTTGCGCAAGATTTGAGCGCAGTTTTTCGTTTTTATTGAACTCTAGCGGCTTTAATGAACTTCCAACATTTAACCGCAGTCTAGAGAAAGGTTAATTGAGTAATTTTGCCCTAGTTTTTGATTGAATTTTTAAATAAAAACCTTCTTCTCAACAAAAAAGGCCATAAAAACGCAATCCTTCGGTTTTTTTGAGTTTCTTTTGAATGTCACTGCTATATTTGCCTCATTTAAATTCATCCGTATACGGTTATGTCATTAGTTATGTCATAATTTCCGGGGCTTCGCCCGGATGACTTCTGTACTTCTCCCCAGGTGAAGGTTGTGTTCTATCATGACGCTCAAAGTGAAGGTTACTAGAGTACATGGCTCTATGTATCGAAGGTATGGATGTGAATGTTTGGCGATTGGGTTTTGCCTTGTATACTGGCATGGACGTGGCGCACTCAATCATATTGTGGATGGTTGGAATCAACAATCAATCGCTCAAATAAGGCAGAGATGACTCGTCGGAGCTTCAACTGAAGCTTTCCTTAGTTGACATCGAATGAGGCAGCTTTACCAGGGCCATGTTTCATGAAAACAGCCAATCTAACTATGTCTTTCAACATGTTGCTCACGAACATAATACAGTTGTATACTCACACTTAAAGCTAGATACAATCAAATTCCTTTATTTCAGTCTCATTCAAATTGCTCATCGGAGAAAAGTGGCCACATGACAAAAACAGAGAACTATAAATATATACTCTTTGTGTGGGAGGACGACCAGTTGGCCATTCTACGGCAAAATAAAATTTCTGCTTCTGCAGAGGTGGTCGTGTAAGTTGATAATCACAGGTTTCCCTGTAAGAACCGAACACAAGCACTGTTCCGAATGGCATGAGTGTTCTAGAATAACGCTCCCATTCGGCAAGAACAAAGCTGCTTCCTATCCAACCGCCTCTTCGCCCTCCATTTCAGACTCAAATGTATGAAAGTTCCTGCCGCAAAAAGAGCAGACCTGTCTTTAAGATGAACCGCGAGTGACTTCTCACAAAGACTTTTTGCTTTCTGGTCTTACTCTCCACATTTGCTGCCTCTCACCCTTACTTCTCCTCCTTATTGAAGAAACAGCGCAGCCTTGGCTCATTTGTATATGTTCTGACTTAACTAGCGACCCTGCGGGTCGCTATAAGTGGATCGAAGCACATGTTTTGAAAGTTTGTGCATCTCAACATCTTCCTGCATTTTATTTTACTTGAACATAATTTTCGCCGAATCATCAAATTTGCTCCAAGGTAGATTCCTTATCGGGTGGAAGCATCTGAAAAAGTTTTCTGGACTGATACTCTACCCTGAACTTTGAGCCTTTTTATTTTGCGGGACTCGTCAATAACTCGCTTTTCTACAAGTATAGGTGAGGTTTCCCCATGAAAACGTCTACAAAGCAGATTTTTATGAGATATTGGAAAATCTGTGGAATAAACGCACTTCCCGAAAAGGTTCCTTTCGCTTGAAAGCATGGCCTCCATCAATGAGATCCTCACTCACACGCTTCGCTTTCAACAAGAACAGAATTTCCTCAACACGCGCTCCCAGAACAATTTTCTTCTACGGATTTTGCGATACAGCGACACCAAGTCACCCCCGGTAGTGACCTCTCTGAAGAGTCAGCTGTCATTGAACAACGAAACCCTGTTACTCTTTATGTTTTCCTTACACAAAATTTTTTTTGAATAAATGCCCTGCTCTTCAATCATCGATCAAATTTTGCCATTTATGTACGAAAAAGTTACCCTCCGCTATAATCCTTTGAGGAAAGCGTTGGCTGCACCAGCCAGACTCAATCATCAAGCTCTCCTTCATACAAAATAGGAAGATCTTTCGAATGAACGCTCTCCACCAGCGCGACCCACTTACTTGAATGCTTTCCTTTCTTCAAAAAAAGCAAATTTTTCTAAATAAGCGCTCGTTTCCAACCGCCTTTCCTACAAGATAAGAAATGCTTTACTTAGCAGAATATCATTTCTACCAGCTCGCCAGCCAGACCCACTAATCAAGCGTATAACCCCAAGTGAAAGCTCATTTTCAACAGGAGACCCAGTTACCGCTAGTGGGATTTCCTCAAACAGAAACACATCTTCACCAGCGGAATCCACTTATCTAAAAGCTTTCTCTTCCACACGGAAGAGCATAACCTGAGTAAAAGCTTTCCTCCACAACGAGACCCAGTAGTTCAAGCGCTGGATTTTCCTATGTGGAAACCCATCTCCACCGGCGAAATCCAGTTACCCTGAACGTTGAATTTCCACAAGTGAACCCTTTCCTCCACCAGCGAGACCCAGTCATCCAAGCGTTGGATTTCCCCAAGTGGAAGCTCATCTCCACCAGCGAGACCCAGTCACCCAAAGCATAGAATTTCGCCGAGTAAACGCTTTCCTCCACCATCGAGAGCATTTACTGAATTTCCCTAAGTGGAAGCTCATCTCCACGAGTGAGATCGTTACCCGAAGCGCCGCTTTCCTCCACCAACGAGACCCAGTCATTCAAGCGTTGGATTTCCCTAAGTAGAAGCTCATCTCCACCAGCGAGACCCAGTTACCCAAAGCATAGAATTTCGCCGAGTAAACGCTTTCCTCCACCATCGAGAGCACTTACTGAAGCGTTGGATCCTTACCCGACGCCCCGCTTTCCTCCACAGACGAGACCATTCAAGCGTTGGATTTCCCTAAACAGAAGCTCATCTCCACCAGCGAGACCCAGTCACCCAAAGCATAGAATTTCGCCGAGTAAACGCTTTCCTCCACCATCGAGAGCACTTACTGAATTTCCCCAAGTGGAAGCTCATCTCCACGAGTGAGATCGTTACCCAAAGCGCCGCTTTCCTCCACCAGCGCGACCCAGCCATTCAAGCGTTGGATTTTCCCAGATGGAGGCTCATCTCCACCAACGAGACCCAGTCACCCAAAGCATAGAATTTCGCCGAGTAAACGCTTTCCTCCACCATCGAGAGCACTTACTGAATTTCCCCAAGTGGAAGCTCATCTCCACGAGTGAGATCGTTACCCGAAGCGCCGCTTTCCTCCACCAACGAGACCCAGTCATTCAAGCGTTGGATTTCCCTAAGTAGAAGCTCATCTCCACCAGCGAGACCCAGTTACCCAAAGCATAGAATTTCGCCGAGTAAACGCTTTCCTCCACCATCGAGAGCACTTACTGAAGCGTTGGATCCTTACCCGACGCCCCGCTTTCCTCCACAGACGAGACCATTCAAGCGTTGGATTTCCCTAAACAGAAGCTCATCTCCACCAGCGAGACCCAGTCACCCAAAGCATAGAATTTCGCCGAGTAAACGCTTTCCTCCACCATCGAGAGCACTTACTGAATTTCCCCAAGTGGAAGCTCATCTCCACGAGTGAGATCGTTACCCAAAGCGCCGCTTTCCTCCACCAGCGCGACCCAGCCATTCAAGCGTTGGATTTTCCCAGATGGAGGCTCATCTCCACCAACGAGACCCAGTCACCCAAAGCATAGAATTTCGCCGAGTAAACGCTTTCCTCCACCATCGAGAGCACTTACTGAATTTCCCCAAGTGGAAGCTCATCTCCACGAGTGAGATCGTTACCCGAAGCGCCGCTTTCCTCACCCAACGAGACCCAGTCATTCAAGCGTTGGATTTCCCTAAGTAGAAGCTCATCTCCACCAGCGAGACCCAGTCACCCAAAGCATAGAATTTTGCCGAGTAAACGCTTTCCTCCACCAGCGAGACCCAAAGACCCGAAGCGTTGGATCCCCAAATAAACGCTTTCCTCCACCATCGAGAGCACTTACTGAAGCGTTGGATTTCCCCAAGTGGAAGTTCATCTCTACGAGTGAGATCGCTACCCGAAGCGCCGCTTTCCTCCACCAACGAGACACAGTGATTCAAGCGTTGGATTTTCCCAGATGGAAGCTCATCTCCACCAGCGAGACCCAATCACCCAAAGCATTGAATCGGCGAGTAAACGCTTTCGTCCACCATCGAGACCCAAAGACCCGAAGCGTTGAGTTTCAAGCAAAGCAAAAAAACCTTCACCAACGAGACCCAGACTCAAGCGTTTCTTTAAGTAAACGCTCGTCTCCACCAGCGAAATCCAGTTACTTACGCTTTCCTTTCTATACAACAGGGAATATTTTCACAAATATATACTCGTCCACCAGCAATACCCAATTACTCGAGAACTTTCAATTCTGGAATCGAAAACAGGATTAGTCTGAGATAAAACCTCGTTCCTACCAGCGACACCCAATTACACAAATTAACCTTTCTACAAGTCCATCAGATAACATTTTTGATCAAAATTTCCGACATTATCTGCGGTGCGTAGTTGTCTAAGTGCTTTTTCTTCTGAGGCGTCGCCTCCGACAAGAGAACGCAGTTTCACGTTTTTCGGAATACGACAAAAGTTAGATTTCTCAAAAGCTAGGAAAAGCAAAATTTCCATCATTCGCAGTATTTCTTAAACATGCTTCGAAAAGCATCAGGTTTTGGCTCTACCATGAGACCCACTCAATCTGTGCGATCTAATTTTTGTGTAAGCAGAGAAAAACGAAACAAAGAGAAAACGATAAATAAACGTAAACGCACAAAGGCAGAAACATAAACTGGAAATGCTGAAAATCTTTACCACCTGCAAGCAAAAGATTTAAGTAGATAAAACCTACGTAAGAAGATGCGGCAACAACCTTGCACGAGGCGACTTTTTATGATAATGGCGACATAGTATACTGAACCTCGACCGGGAGGAACATTTGCCTCGTTAATGGATGTTGCTCAAGGATCGCATATGATGCAATCATGTGACTTATGCGAAAACATCGTCTTGAGACTGTTGATATGCCACTCGTGATGGTCTGTTTACAGTCTGGAATTTGTCCTTAGGCGACAGCTATGCGCGAAAAAAATTCGAGACGGTTCGGTACAAATGAAAACATGTCTCATATGGAAATACACAGGGGGCGTGTCCGCCTCTCGTCTGGCTTCTCCTCGTCTACCATCTGCTATCGTTTAGGGAAAGTGCACGAATTCATGCTTTTATACGTAGTGATAGACCACTCAGTCTTATTGTACAGGCTTTGTGTGTTTATTATAAGAAGCTATGAAAGTAGTTTAATGGCAACTGATCCAAACTTATTTTATATACAATCATCAGAACTATGAAAGGGGATTGATTTTTGGTCCAGGAGAAAGCTCACTCTTGTGTACGATGTTGGTAGTTCATCAGCCAAGCGGAGGAGGGTTGCGGACTTACCTGATTCTCAGGATAAACTTGTTAAACATCCGCTTCATAGCATTGTGTTTCATACTCGCTCGTTAAGCTTACCCTCAGTCAAGAAGTCCGCAATCTATCTGGGAGCCGATCATACATTCATGTACTTGACTGTGGATTCAGCTACTTCGCCTTTTCCAAAATGAGGATAGGAGTAGCATAGCGGCTTTTCTTGGAGGTAAAAAGGACGTAACTGATTGTCCAGTGCTATACATCGCTGTGAGACTAAGTGTGTTGCTAGCTGAAAAGTGTGATGGAATTTTCATCAAAGCATGATCGTCAACCGGTTCCCCGCTCCAATGTAATTCGCTGACATCTGCGTACCTCCCCTTAGAAATGGCTTCATCTTATTGTTAGTCTCAGCTTACAAAAATGGTTCAAAACGGCCCGCATTTTATAGTATTCGCATAAAAACTTTGAAGTTCAAGATTATCAAACAAAAATTTTAATCTATAATTTCCACCAACCCTCGCTTCCTTGAGTGAAGCTAACTCTGCAATGCGACCCTTACAAAACCGCGAAAACTATTAGGATAAAAGAGCTGCATGTTTTAAAGTGGATACATTACAGCTGGGCTTGGATGTAGTAGTACTGCTCGCTGCAAGAATTCACCTGAGATAGCACTTTACAAAGTGTGCTTGTTGAGGAATTTCTTGACAAGGGAACGACGAACTATACAAGAAATCCTAGAAGCAATTACTAACAAGGTTACTACATTGCAAAGTGTGGCTGAAAACTTTTGTACACCCTGTAAAGCTCGTGTACGTTACATTCAAGATCGTGTAAAATTTCGTGAATGTCGCGGGGGAAATCCCGCGGAATCTAAATCTTTCATAACTTCCAGAATGCATGGATTCTGGATCTGAAGGAATCACTACTCAGCTCCTCGAGACAAAACCCGCGAGCATTTCTCTGGTGGGCTGACATTGGCATTCGCGCGAATAAGTCATCATAACGTCCGTATTCGAGCCGCGTTGCATACACGCTCGCGTGCGTTCAGCCTACAGCGACCAGGGCGATTTCGTGCAGTCGACTTCATCTGATCTGTCATCTTTTTATCTGCTTCATCCTTAATCGGTCCTACCTACTTGCCATAATTATGGGCTTACGGTAAGTGCACGGGGAGGTAAAAAATTTCTAATTATGGGGGAGGGGGCAGGATACTGCTGAGTACAGCAGTCGTGTCCGATATTCGTATTCACCGATTTTAGTAAACAAAGAGGTACTAATCTGCAGTCATTTAAATAAAAAAGAGGAAACAAACCACATTGACGGTTTCATCACGGCAATTACTCATTACAGCACGAAAACGTCATCAGAAATTTTTACTACAGTAATAACAGGTTCAATGATTTTGCCGAGACAGCCCCGCAAAACTAGATTCAAAATGTAATCTTCGCAAAGCTGTGAAACGTAAACTGATGAGAATACGTGTGTATGCTGAAAAATTTGTATTTCAGTGTGGACGCAACAAAAGAATTACGGAATAACAAGAGTTATGGGAACTTTCGGATCGCAAAGTTCGAAAACAAAATCAAATCATTTGTATTCAAACCCTTTAAAGAAATTATGTTCGAAACATGCCATCGTCATCATCAAGATGAAGGAGGGAAGTTGTGGTTCCGCTGTTATTCCCTCAGCGGCACTGAACTTACTGAGCAGACAATCGAATACGAGGGCATATCTGCAATGTAAGTGCAAATAGAAATAATGCATGTCTTTTTCTATGTTTTCTTCTCATATTTATTCTATGTAGAGCTCATCGAAATAGACAGTATATTGAAATACACTATGGACTCCAGGGTACTACAAAGCTTGACGAAAGTTTACTGAAATGAGAACAAACATTCTTACAAAAATTTCTAAGTTCGCCACTTCTCCTAATGAAACACATCCTATTCTGAGCAAATTTTCAAAGTTGACCTTTACAGAATCTTCTATGACCAGTGCGTCACCTCTGCTTCGCAGAGGTTTGAGCTGGCTCTACTATCTAGGCCCTACTCATTCTCGCATAATAATGGTATTGGAACTTACCGAGCAATGCCGACTATCACGAACAAAATGTAAAAAACAGCTCATTTCGAAAGGTTTTTTATGTGAAATCGGTGACTTCGCGTGGATGAGACTTTTTGCAGGAGAGCAAACGCAAATCTTTATAGGTTTTTGATTTTTCCATGGTCTTCGCAGTTGCAATAAGAAGAGCAGTGACCGTGTGCTACATCTTTGTGCAAAAATCTCGTCAAATGGTCTGGTAAAACCTTGGCAAATTGATCATTTACGTAGCCAATACTTTTGGCGCCGTTTTGTAAAGTAATGGGCTTTTGATCGCCTTTTTTGGGCCCAAGTCCATGTTGCACATTTACTTGACATAAACATCCACGACTCGGCAAAAAGTGGAATTACGGACCCAATTTTGCGGCCCAAATGCATAGTGGATCCGTTTGACGCACAGTTTCTGAGGGATACACCCAATAAATCTGCTCTCGCTTTTGCATGTTGAACTTTTATGCGAGGAGCATGCGCTGTGCAAAATTTGAGCCCAGGAGGTTGGTTGGAACACTCTTTACGAATTTCGTAACACACACACACACACACACACACACACACACAACACACACACATAACTCAGACAATCGACGGGACCCCTCCGCCGGACCCTCGGAAACTGCCAGAGTCGCGCCGGACCCAGTTGACCAATGAGAGAAGGGCAAATGGGCGGTCCATCGCGGTGGCATCACTGGCAGGCAAATGGGAGGCTTCTCCGGCCCTGCTGCAAAGGTCCGCCATTTCTCCGGCGCGACTCTGCCAGATTTGACGGACTCCGCGCCGCAGAAATCTGCGCGGCGCGTGTCCGCCAAATTTGGAAGAGCCGCGCCGGAGAAAATGGGAGGTATCCGCCGGAGGAATGGGAGGTATCCGCCGGAGAAATGGGAGGTATCCGGAGCAGAAAATGGGAGGTATCCGGAGCAGGCTGCGTATCGATTTGGCGCGTAGCAAGCAAACGTCTAACTCCACGGTGATGAGTCCTCTGTTTACGCTCTTTGTCCATATTTTAGTCGCCGTTTCTTTGATTCTGTTGTTTTTGCGCGTTTCTTTACCGTTTTTTCCTTTTCCGCGTTGCTCTTCGTCGCGTTGGCGTTTATGTTGCTGTAAGTTCCTCGTTTTCAGGTTTATGTTTGAAATTTTCGTGCGGTTGCACTCAATCACCTTCAGTGTTTGGCTCTTTCCGACTTGCTGAGACATCGTAGACTATTGATGGAGTGGTTTTTGTGATTAATTCTGAATTTTCGAAACAATGAGGTTAGTTGCGCAACTATCTAGTGTTGTTGTGATGAAAGTATCGTCTAAATAATCCTTGTTGTTGTTCCGTGTCACACAGTGCTTACCAGCCTGGCTAACGAGCGTTTTATGCAAAGAATATACCTTTAGGTAGAAAAAGATATAAAGGATGCATCTTTGGTAGGATAGGTAGTTTTTTGTTTTTGAACTGCGATACTCGAAAACGCTTTGCACACGTTACGCAGGCTCAAACATGTTTGCTCTCTGATTTCCAAGATTGTTACATCCAAGATAAATTAGAGCACATGTTTCAACTTGTTAATCACACGTGTCCAAAGCTTTTCGAGGTTGTCTCACACGAAACGATAATCATTTCATTCCTTTACCGTAGATAGGTATATCCACATTTGCAACTGATGCCAACTGCGTTAATCAAGCTGCTGTACAATAACTTGCTTTGTAAGCGTAAGTTGTAATCGCTCATATCGCGAATTCACTATGAATGCGGGTTTGAACTTGCCGCCGAATGCAAATTTATTTTCCGCGGCGCGAAGTTGGCGTAATCAAACCATTATTTGGTTTTTTCTTCCTTTCTTTCATTCACATTCTTAACAGCAAGCTTTGAAAAATTGCTTTTCCAAGCACTTTCCGCAATCAAATCTAGGAAGGAACATAAAGCACGTTTTTCAAAAGAGTTCTGACTAATCACTCCTCTTTGTAGACGTCTTCTAGCTAATATAACCGCTTGAAGGCGTTTTCTTCTTTCATTTGCCTACTTCAGTTGGTAAGGGCTAGTTCTGGCTTATCGCATATCATCGGCAGTCCGTCGTCCTTATGGTTATTTTAGAGCTGCTTCTTGCAAACTTCATCTATCTTCATCGATCGTTCACTTCATTATTCACAATCGTTTCTGGTTCAAGTTTCTTTGAATAAAGCAAGTTTTTAGCATGGACTACTTGTTGGATCGGTATTTGTTCGATAACTTGCCTTTCACAGTCTCGCCTGAAACTAGGAAAGGTATAGGTCAGAAAGCTGTCATCATGGTCCAGGTGAGGTTTTGTACCGTGTTACGGTGAGGTCTTTAGTGAGTTTTTGGAAAGCTCTTTTGTTTTACTTTATCTCCATGAGAAAGTTGCTCAATTTCAAGCAGTTTAATTCGGTATCAGCTTCATGTCTTCCAGGCGTTCAGTCACAATTATATCACATGCTGCTTTTCAGTGGGCGGATTGGTTTTGCAAATACAAAAGTCCCGTAGAATTGATCCAGAATAACCCGTACTTTTTCGCTGCTGAGCTCGTCTTTGGATTTTTATGTATGCTCACATTTGCTCATGGTATGTTTTAGACTTCCTTTTGTATCTTATTCAAATCACTATTCGATATCAAATAAGCCTATCGTCATGGCGGTCGGTATCTATACACATGGATTGCCGTAACTGTACATGCGTTTGTCATCGAAACACTAGCTATCTCTGTACCAGAATTGAATCTTTATTGGCATGCACAGGTATTTATCTTTCTTCTCAGCAACACTCGACTTCATAATTATCCTGTTTAGGGTATGTTGAGCTTTTTTGGAATGAGAGTTCCTCTCTATGCCCTTTTTGGATTTCATCAAATGTTTCTCTACACATCCTCTGTCCTTGTTAGCAGGTATCTCATGTACAGGGCTTTTCAACCTGAGAGTCGCAAGTTTCGCTTGCGCGGCTCCTCCAACGCGGCCGCCTCGCTCAGGCCGCGCGCGGCGTTTGCTGCGTATCGCCCGGATTTCGCCAAGCTTCAGTCGACGCGCAGCCAGCGCCACGAACGCTGGGCGGACCTAAGCGTGGCGTCCTAGCGGGGCGGGTGGGACACTCAGGTTGTAAAGCCCTGTACACATTTATTAGTCCACAGAATTTTCATACATTTTTTACTAGCGGGAAAATCTTCCGATCAAAATTGTAGACGTAAATTTTAACGGATAACGGTTAAGAGTTTCTGCACGGTCCTGTTTTTCGAACAGCTTGTGAAGGGGGGCGCCTACCCCGTTCCCCCCCCCCCGACTTGTTGCTTCATTAAAAATTGATCGCTGGTTAATCCTTCTTCAACTTTTTTCACCAATACAGGTCAAGTCAGCTCAGGCCTTATAACAGTAACAGTAATTTCAGTCTTGGATAGAAATCACTTCTAAGTTCCCCTTGTCCACTTTGGTGATTGTGAGCGTAAATTTATATTTATTGCCATTTCAGAATGCGCCTACCTTGGTGGGGTGAAGGGCCTGCAGTTGGCCTGAGTTCTGTGATGCTTCAATTACCATTCCGTATGTTAGGTACGAAATTGCTGTGGTGGACGTGGCACGATACTGATCCAACGATTGAAGACAGGTCTTTTTTCGTCTTTTCTTGGTGTCCTCGATTTTCCACATGCATACAGAATGTTCTGGACTCCATGGAGCTCTTTATACTTTTATGCCGCATGTGCTTGTTCTTTTGTATGGATGCTCCGACTAACTAGACGCTTGTTGCTTGAAAAGGAGTATGACTGGATGAAGTAAGCGGTCATCTAATGTAAGACGAGCTGGAATTTAAAACACGCCATCTTCAGATTCCCAAAGGAGTTGACATGCTCCTTTCTAACTGGAGTACTCTCGTACTGGCTAGGAACCGCACAGTTTGTCTGTTTTGTTTCATGTTGCACAGAATGCTTTTTTGATCTTTTTCTCATTTTCTTACCATGTTAAAACCATATGCTTATACTGTGGTGTTACAAGGTTCTTTTTGCAACTAGGAAATTAGTTTTTCTTTCAATATTCTTATCTCTAACTCCTAGTATGGTTTTTGTAATATGAATTAACTGTTGTACGTATGCTGGAGATAGATAGATAGATTTTTCGAAAGTTTGAAAAATTTGAAGTAAATGTCTTATCTCTTCGTTCTTTCTTCTATCTTCTATCCACAAACGCTAGGGGTGAGAGGGAGGGGGTAGAGTACGGGGTGAGGGTCGCGCTAAACTCCTACCCGGGGGGGGGTCCTATTCGGCTTATTTGGGTTGGGTTTAGAGACAAAATTGGGGTTTGGAGCTTAAAGGCAGCGTCCAGGCAAGTCTGGACCTATGGGGATTTTACATGGAAAGTATTTTGGGGCCCTAACTAAGCCACTACCCAACCGGCAGCTCAAGTAGTGCTCTAACGCCTGAGATATTCTGCTCGAAACCGGACCCCGCGACCGTGTTTCGCATGGATTCATGGCGCAAAGCGTGGATCCTGGCGCGAAACTGCCATGAATCCATGCGAATACGTTCGCGGGGGTCTGTTTCGAGGGAATATCTCAGCCATTGGAGCACTACCTGAGCTGCTGCTTCGGCAGTGCCTTAGTTAGGGCCCCAAAAGTACTTTCCATGTAAAAGCCCCATAGGTCCAGATCTGCCTGGAAGCTGCCTTTAATTAGGGCTAATTACAGTATGCCGCGATCGGGGGGCTCCGGCGCACAAAATCGGGGGGCTCCGGAGCAGAAAATGGGAGGTATCCGGAGCAGAAAATGGGGGGTATCCGGAGCAGAAAATGGGGGGTATCCGGAGCAGAAGATGGGAGGTCTCCGGAGCAGAAAATGGGAGGGCTCCGCCGGACAAATGGGAGACCCACCGCTGGGGATACGCCGCGACCCTGCCACTTCTCCGGCGGAGGGGTCCCATCCATTGTCTGAGAAGTCACTTAAACATTCTTAGCTCGTTATTATAAGTAACTAGCTGCGGTTCCCGGTCCCGCCCGGGCCAGGGGTCCAAAATGGCCCGTCTGCTTCAAGATGTTTGCTTACCATTCCTCCACTTCCTTCAGATCACATTTTTTTCTTCCTCTCCTGCTTCAGCTCCAAGTCAGTTCCAGCACACGTGTAGTATCCGTGATGAATATGTCCTTCTTGAGGCTTGCTTCGTAACATCGCATCCTCCTCACCGCAAAATGTAAATGATCTCCACCGCTCCTTACTACTTAACTTGCAAAAATGAATGATATAGCTTTCATTTTCCTGGATGTTAGTAAACAAATCAAAAAATCGATAGAAGGACCCAGTGAATCGTCGCAAAAAGTAGCCTAGTTTCTGCGCTTGGCCTCATTTATAAGGGAGCAAACTTCAGCCTCATCGGTTCACAAACAAAGAAGTCTATAAGCCACATACTTACATACGAACAAATTTACAGAGATTGAGCTTTATTTATATATAAATGATAGGTATAATGACGAAAAAGTCACATCGAGGTTTCTCAATGTAAACAACGACAAGAAAACCTTAATAGCTTTCAAATGCTCTAATAATTTCAAAGATGTATATGTGCAAACTGCCACTGCAAAATTTGAAGAGTTATTTCCCATTTACAGTGTTAGAAATCAGCAAAAGTTCAACTTGCCGAAACGTTACAATTATAGCCGTTCTATCGCATCATACATAACAGAACTAGGAGGGCATAGATTATGGGTAAATTTGAGCATTTTGTACATTTCATCTCTGACTAGTCTTCCCTCGATAACATCTCATTCCTCCTAGGTACTAAGCGGCAAGACCCTTTATGATTTTGACTTGGATAAAGTCGAAAGAGGCGCCTACAATACAAGTAATCCATTAATATATAAGATACCAGATAAGGTAAACACACCTTGCTTTGCCATTAAGAGCATATTAGTGTAAGCTGAATTTGCATTTTTTTTAACATTGCAGCACAGATTCAAGACAAAAAAATCTGAAATTTTGTTCGCTGATGCATTTAGTATTATTACAAGACGTTGCTATAGCTACAAAATTAAAGGGTGCTTATATCGCTACAACATACCAAGAGGAGTAAGTAGACAGTTGAAAATCTACTTAATCAACATCTTCTTAACTGTGTTCTAGGATAGATTGATAAGCCGTTGTATATACGACGAAATGTTTGATATACAACCTGCGTTGCTGTCTAAAAGTTTCCGAAGCGAAGACTCAGGTGCGACTACCTTTTTTATGGATTGTCTTTGTATAACATTGAAATAATTTATTGCATAATACCAGGTGTCAAAAAACTCATGCAAGACGATGAATATGACAGCGTCAAGTGGAAAGGTAATCCTTGTTATCTTTTCAATGTCATCTACTCTGACAATGAGAACGAGTTGCTTTCTTCTCATTTTCATTTTTTTTCCGATAATATCGACTTCGTAACAAGTCGTGGGACTATACCTAGTTGCAGGTTACAATATGGCCTATGCGCCTGTTCTACTTCTAGGGATAATAACGATAGTGTATCTATGCTTCTTCTTCTACTATGCTTTCAAACCAAACCCTCATAGCGATCTTACGGAGCTTTCGGTAAAAGCCAACACTTCTTATAACCTAAATGTTTTTTGATTTGGAACTTTTTAAAGAAAGTGATGGATGAACAGCTTTATGAATTGTCCATTCTCACCAAAGAGGTAGCCGAAACGATGAAGGTAATTTTGCGCCACAAATGTTCACTGTAAGTCTCAAGCAGTATGGGCTTTATTAAGCGCAAAAAGAAGCAAGTGACGCTAAAACGAAGAAAGACGGACATAACTCAACCTTCGCTAGAAGTTTGCTCTCCCGGCACCACTCATACAAGCACATACGAAAATGAGTTACGCTCTGACAAGTCAGTGTTTTCTAATTAAATACCAAAAGTTCATCGCACAAGTTTTAGAGAGGAAGCACTGAAACGAAAAGCTAGCAAAGAAATGCATAGAAGCAAGGATATTCTGAGATCCCATACTCTGACAAAGGTATGTGCTGCTTGAGCTCAAGTGTCTCTTTGTTTTCAAAGAGACACTTGAGCAGATTTGAGAAATCGGCATAATAGAATCATTGATTGTGAAGTCTGTTTCAACTCGGAGTAAAAACATTTAGAGACCGGTGCGTCTGCATCGCTCGAGGCTTCCGAGCAAACAGCGCTAGTATATTGGCTATTTTACTTGAGATATATGTGAGAATACTCGTAGCGTAACGCTAATTTCGAATGTATGTTCGATATCCGCAGAAATATTTCTTGGATAAGGTTGTGAAGATTTTTTCCAAGAAAATTGCTGTAAAAAACATTTATTAGATCTATGAATTTGCCTGTTTTATGCAACGAAACTGCTAAACGGTAATCCGTCATTGTATTCAGATTCCTTGATCAGAATTTGACAGAAAAAAAAGCAAAAATTATTGCCTCTGACCCTCTATAATGGTGCAACTTTGTCATCGATAAACATGTATATTTTCCTCCAGAATAAAGACAATCAACATATATTTGAGATAAGCGTTCCAAAAATATCCATGATTTTCATCCGGGGGGGGGGGGGTGGAATTTTTCTGATGAAGGTGCCTGGCGTTTAACACGCACTGTAAAAAATTTTTTGGTATGCTTCCCAAAGTTTTTGCAAGCTCTTCTTATTCCGACTTCTGTTTCCCGACTTATTCCCCCTCCCCCCCCTCCCCCCACCTCAGTACGCCACTGCTTCATACGTTTCATACGAAAAAGCCACGGTTACCTCGAGTTCTTCCTTTGTCAAAAAGGACAATTAGGACAGTCGCAATGTCTACCCGCAGTAATCTTTCATCAGTCTTTTGCTGCGCGCATTCAAAACTCGAAAGCTGCAAACTTCTCTAGAGAAAAGCTAAACGCGTAGTTTGCGTACTTTTAGTAGTTTTTTGATTTGATCGATTGGTCAGAAGTGACGCTTTTTGTGGATTGCCTAGTGATTATCTAGAAATGACATGTATGCATCGGCTCTCAAGATGATTTGTATTTTCAAAACCGAAAGCTGTACTACTTCCTCCATCGCTATACTGTACATGCACTCAAACAACTAAACTTCGGCTGTGCGTCTTGCAGCATTTGAGACATTCAGCGGAAGTTTGCTTGTCGTTGTTTTAAGAAGGGCATTTTTGTCCCTATTAGTGCCTTTCATAATTTGCTGATTTAGTGCCAACCTAATCATGACACAACTTGTAAAAATTATCATAGGCTCGTTCGAAAGAACCAATGAGGCCGAGTGCCGAAGGAATGCTGGATGGTGCACATGCACAGAAACGACCATATCAACGAAATTATGAAAACGGTGATTATCGAGCTGCCGAAAAAAGGATCAACATTGGAAGCAGAACATAAGACTTTTTCTAGTTTGGCGCCGTTGTCCGCAGAAACCTCAAATTCTGTTAGATCTGGTGTTTTTAAATATCGTACAATATCCATCCTTGCTCTCCACTTATCTCAACTGCTTAACAAAGTTACTCGTGTATCCGAGATCTTAGATAAAGATTAGTTCTGAATGGCAGACTTGGACATAGATCTCACAGTAATGATGTACCTACATGCACTGTTATTCAGAGTGACGATTGGATGCACTTCTGGTCGTGAAGCGGGAAGCGACGCATAAGGTACAAAAGATGCTTTTCACTGAAAAAGAAAAACTAGTGAAGGCGCTGGGATAATCAATTCATCTAGACCCATGCCTCCGACTACTTCTCCTTGAGAACAGTGTAATTCATATAGGTCTCAAGGAAATCTTGCTCTTCTCTACAAAAAAACCTTTATCGGGGACCAATAAGCTAGCTACTCAAGGGCTCGCTAACATCCAAATAACGGGCTCATCATAATTTCGGAAGCAGATGCAGATTCTACACATTTTGATCAGTGCGGTCCCAGGATTTCCCTCTGGGGAGGGGGTGATAAAAAATTTTCAAAGTAAAGGTACATGGCGTTAGCCACGCACACCGAAAGTTTTTTTAGATGCTTTCCAGAATTTTTTTCGGGAATTTTTTTCCCATAACGCCCAAATTCCAGAATAAGGAAGCGTGACTATCGAAAAAAAAATTCTCTGAAAAAAATTCTGGGCTAATATGAATCTTAGAAAAATATAAAAACGAAATTCAAGTATAAAACAAGAGTCACTTGCACAATTCTATAACTCATGGAAGTAACTTTCAAAAATTTTGCGATCCATTCGGGGGAGGGGAGGGAGACTTGGTTCGCCACTGGTTCTGATCCATGTGATTACTTTTCTGCAGCTTCGCAGCCTGTTCTAAAGGTTGACTCTTCACTGACTCTGTACGGTACTACTGCAATAACGCTTTGATGTCGTCTGTCTTTGTGTGCAGAAGTCTGTTTTCACGAAAATTCATAAAGCGAGTTCCAGCCAAGTCTATGGTCAAATTTTCGTCTAGAGCATGGTTTATGCTCAGGCAGATGTGACTTTATCCACTGCGTAGTGTTTTTTCAAAAATCGCATGTAGTACGTGTTCACCATCTATTTCATCCTTGAAGTCGATTCCCTAGGACTGACTTCTGACAAAGTCTCAAATTTATTTGCGCGTCGATGCGAATCAACTCCGATAAAAGTAATCAAAGAGTTTATTCTTTCGAGAAAATACCGCGAGAGATACTGACTGCACAAATCATTGATTAATTACGATTTATCTGTGTGATTGAGAAAAGTTTTTTGAGGTTGTAAAATACGAATTCTGGCTGCGGAGGCTATCAAGGCAGTACCGGTTTGAACTAGTTTGAATTTTCATATATTTTTCTAACGTAAAGCCTCTTCCCACCAAAGTTACCTGTCTGTGGAAGAGCTTTTAATGGAGTGTTATCTAGAATGAATTCGTAATAATGTAAGACTCATAAGGGTTTCAAGCAGTTTTCAACAATTTCCGAGCAGGAAAAAACCTACTGATGGTGTAAAATTAGCGCGAGGCCTTGCGAAGCGAAGGTGACGCACTTGGCTTAACTTTTTTTTATCCTCGCAGTCCCACTTAAGCAGGGGTCTGTCTTCCTTGTCAGATGTCTCCATGTCATCCTATCTGAGGCAAGGTCTTCGTTTACACCAAATTCTCGCAGGTCGGCCTTGATTCTGTCCATCCACCTCATCTTGGGTCCACCTCTGGGCCTTTTGTGCCTGGTGCCTCTACAGCCAGGGCCAATTTGGTGATGTGGTTTTCATCCCTTCTGCGCACATGCCCATACATCGTAGCCTCTTTTCCTGCATTTTTTGGGCAGTTGGAGCTACTCTCATTCGCGCTCATATAGTGTCATTGCAGGTGTGATCCTTCAGTGTGACTCCTAAGGTCCATCGTAGCATCCTTGTTTCCATGACACTGAGCTTGCGCTCCTCGTTCCGCGTACACGGCCAGCACTCACTGACATAGAGTGCTGCTGGGCGGATAACGGTCCGGTACAATTGGGACTTGAGTTGCACTGGCATTCGTCTGTCGCACAGAACTCCTGTTAAGGCTCTCCATTTCATCCACGCTGTGTTCATCCTGCCCGTGACCTCCTCTTGTAAGCCCCTTTGAGATGTGACTGCCTAGGTATCTGTATGACGTTGTCTTCTTTAGCTCTTCACCATCGATGCTTATGGTACCTGGAGTTTGTTTCCCCACTTCCATATACATATTCTGTCTCCCTGGTGTTGAGCTTCAGGCCATACAACTCTAGCCTGTTTTTCCAGTTTTGCACCTCGTCTTGTAGCTCCTTTCTGGTACTTGCTATCAAGACCACATCGTTTGCTTAGAGAAGTGTCCAAGGGGGTTCATGTCTGAGCGGTTCCATCACGGCGTTCATCACCGTGATGAAGAGCAAGGGAGAGAGAGCTGAACCTTGGTGTACTCCAACCTTGATTTCGAATTCTTTCGATTGCCCAGCAGCTGTCTGCACGTGGCTTGAAGCGTTTGGCAGATCAACTTTATCCACTGAATGTTCTCCTCTGGCACCCTGCGTTTCCGTAAGGCCCACCATGTGACTTCATGGGGCACCTTATCGAAGGCTTTCTCTAGGTCCAGGAAGGCTGCATGCAAATCCTTCTGCTTCTCTCTATTTCTTTATCACTATCCGAGCGGAGTGGATTGCATCATTTGTACCTACTCCTTTCCCGAATCCGCACTGATTCGTTGGCAGCTCTATAACATTTCGAAGCGTGTTTCGATTACTCGCTCGAAGATTTTTAGAGTGTGGCTCATCAGTCGGATTGGTCGATAGGATGCGCAGTTTGCTATGTCTCCTTTGTTCTTCCATATCGGGATGGTCGTGCTGGTGTACCAGTCGCGAGGCATACTCTTGCTCCTTATGATTTGATTGAGGAGGCTCGTTAGCCATGTGACTCCGGATTGTCCACATATTTTCCAGAACTCGCTTGGTATGTCGTCTGGACCAGTCGCTTTGCCATTCTTTGTTCTATGGCCAGCCATACTTCCTCTTCCGTGACTGCTGGTACTGGTCCCTCTATGGGGCTGGCTTCTGGGATGGAGCTGATGATGCGGCCTGTGGCGGCCATTTCTTCAAAGTAGGTTCTCCATCGTTCGGTAATGTCCTCTGGTTTTCTCAGCGATACTCTCAACTCTATGATATCTCGTCCTACCAAGTTTGTTTTTGATATGGAGGAAGTGTTCCATATCTTTTGTGGACTCCGCTCTTCTTCTCGCTATCCGGTATATCTCGCGTTCTCCCTCGCGACACTCTAGTTGATCGTAGAGCTCTTTCAAGTACACCTGTTTTGCCTTTTTTACG